TACCCACGCGATTAATTCTTTATAAACAGTTGTATAACGGAAGAGTTTACAATAGAATTTAGCAGGAGAAACCTGAGGTAATCCTGGCTTTGTTCTTGTCAGTTAGACAGCTAGACAGCATTCTGTCAACAATCGTCTTTGTCTTCACGAATAGTTACTAACGAAGCATATCATATATTCCTGGTTGCAAGTGTGAGCCGGCTGAACGTGGTCGCCTAGGCCAGTTTTACTGTAGCAAACTATAGCTGTATCAAATTTTACTGTAGCTGTTGGGCATTTCATTTGGCACATTGATGTTGCAGTTTTTTTCTGAACAGAAAACGGTATGTAATCACAAATCTTAAACGATGATATTTTTTGAAAAACAAAACGTTATCAACTTTGTTGATTGTGCTAGTGTTTTGAGTATAGAATGCCTGTAAGGTAATGATCCTCCAAAGTCAGACGGTGATACCTTCGTGGTTTGTAGGCATAAATGACCTGCAGGTAACTTTTCTATATCTACTTCTGTTCATGGGTTTTACAATAAACGAATATCAAATTCAACTCTCGACTTCCATTTGGGTGACCATATTTTACAAAAGCCTTCGTCGTATGCATTTTGTTTAATGCATCGACGATTGGGATTCGAAGTCAGCTGCATATCCTAATTAGTTTTGATTTCTTAAGAAATTTTAAGTCAACAGAGCTGTGACTGTGATAGTTACTTCTCTTTCAGCAGCTAACAAAACGGGTATACTTTTGTTTCTTTCGTTAACAGAATCATTTGAACGGCCCTTTGATTAAAGCAAATTAACTAGTAAGAAAGATCTGTGCCTTAGTCGAATCAAAATATAACGTTTGAAAGCATCAAATAAAAGCAGGAACAGGCCTTTGCTGTTTATTCACGTGTTTCGCCTTGCATGAAAGCAGGGGTAATTTCATTTTAATTGTTTTGTGCTGTATTGACGGTTCTTGTTCCCTGACAATATGACAGCACGAGCTTCTCGAAGTAGATATTCAAAATATGTCGGAAATTGCCAGTTGAATGCTTAATAAGGATATTCATCCTTCTCGAAGCCATGCGTCAATAATTTGCTATCCTGGCCGCCGCTTGATTTCAAACAATGAGTTTGCTTTGTTTATCCTTTTGTGGATAATCCTTAATATAGTGACGTTGTCAAGAGAACCAACGCTGCTTTGAAGTATCCAAACACGTTGTCTAATGCTCTTCCCGCTGAACTAGGTTCATATTGAGCAAGTAGTCCAACAAAATAAACACAAATAGGTCGGTAATCATTTTACGGTTGACAGAGGTTTTCTAAATCTATTGACTTGGCAACCCCGCACCTCAATGTGTAGAGAAAAACTGGTGACGCCTCTTTTCTTGGGTACAGATATGCCGCGATATCGTCTCCATGCTGCAGCATCTGTTGCAGCAACCAATGTAATGCATAAACATATGACTGAGTCTGAAAACTGCCAAAATTTGCCATGTTTCAAGTTCAAACTAAGCATGTCAACATACAAATTGGGAAGGGGCCATCGTCCTCTATTGTTCACACACAGTGAGTGTGAGACAGTACACGTTTTGTTATAAGAAAATTTTTTTCAGCCCAGCCCTCAAAATTTTATAGCTTTTTCCTAATTTCAGCACTAAAACTTTCTTGACACTTTCTTAACGTAAAGTTGGAACGTTTTACGTTACTAAGCATGCGCAGTGATGGAGAAGATGAAATGCTATAAATATGCTATATTTCTCAGAAACCCTCAACGTCACACTGTATTTGTTGTTTCCTGTTCAGCACATTGCTGTATTGTTGAAATATTTCACTCTTACACCACAATTTCCTTTGAAACTTTGAATATCTAAAAAATTTCAACTTTCTTAGGTTTTTAAAGATCCAGCCCTGAACTTTCTTAACTTTTTGAAGAACCGATCACAACTTTCTTATAAAATACTTTCTATTTTAAAAATACGTATAGTAGCTCTGCTAAGGTACTTGCAATCAAATGTCTCAAAAATTCTGCAGTTTATGAGGTGATAGGTTTTACTCTATACCGGTTGTAGCTTTTCCTTTATTTATAGTGTATTGAGTGTTGCCCAAAAGTCCCTCTTAGTGTTTGTTGTTTATGTTTGACGTTTTCCATTTGAATTTAGCAATGAATTCACTGGTATCTTTGACAAAATGAACCTTATGCTATACATAAACTTTTGTGACAAAGATAAACACCCCATTGTGTTAAGTATTAAGAGGTTAACAGATCAGTTACTTAAATACAATTAAGTTTCCTTAATGAAAACTGCAAAAGTTCCCTTTTTTATAAACAGAGGCACAAAAGTTGGCAGTTCCTCAAACTTACCCATAATCCTGATATGACTTGCATGGATTTTCTCTGTCAATGTTACAGGAAAGTGACAAAGATAGGATCCTGAAAAACAAGCTTGCTTTTCATTGAGATCAAGCACCTGGAAGTGACTGACATGAATTTTCCAAGCATAAGCCTTAGATGCTGTATGCCATAACTGCTTCAAATATGTTGAAAGAGTATCTTTGAACGTCTTTAGCTTTTAACTACAATCCTGGATAATAATGTTGAGACAAAATGTAATTATTGTATTTTTCTACTTTACCTTGCCCCTGTAAATTGAATCTCCCCCTTTCCCCCAAAAAGCAATGTTGGATTTGTAGTTCTATCATTTTTGCTTAAAATCATGCATTCAACATTGAATTGGGGGAGAGGCGGGGGAAGTTATTTTTGAAAGAAAAATGAAAATATAAGCCTTCTTTGAAAAGTCTCAACCATTTTTGTCCGGGATTGTAGACTGACAAAGAAAGTTTTCAATTAAAATTTGATATCTTCGCCAAAAATTTCTCGGATTGCCTAGGCTATACCTTTATATTGAGTTCCACTGCCATTCCGACGCAGGTTGGAAAATGGGGTCAAAGGAAATATTTAACAATCATTGCAAAAGATTTTGAAAAAACTCTTTTCTCTTGTAAGAAGGTTGGGGCCATGGCCCCCGGCACCCCATTTGTCGGAGACTCTGCCCAATCCCACTTGTCCCATCTCCCTACTACTGTTTATATACAAACATGCAAATCAGCTAAAAATGGCAGTGGAAGGTTGCTTTGAATTAATTTTATGAATCTTGGTTCAGCTGGATCTTTTCCCACATTACAACTTGATAGTACCAGCGCGCGAAGGGTCCCTTAACGTGGCGTCCTTATTCTCAAAATCCCGATGATAATGACCCTCAAAAGCCAAAGTACTGAAGCAAATTAAGAAATCCTCCGACAACTGATCACACTTAGAAATTTTATCCCCTATTAGTAGTGTCTTATGACTTGTAATACTATCTTACTCTGTACAGATTTCCGCAAAAAGGCCTATAATCCACAACTGCAGGCTGAGAAAGCAATCTATTAAAAGTAACTAGGCATAGGTAACTCAAGGAACCACTTCGGTAAAGGTTCTTTATTACTACAAACTATAGCACGTAAGCTATAAACATAAAAAAAATAAACTATATTTTTTTATTCACGAGAAGCCCTTCTGGCAAGTTAGCAGTTTCCTGGACCCCGAATCATATGCCAGAGAGACCTTAACTTCCGGAATTTAGATCACCAAAAATTTCCAAATTTTGTTACTATGAAAGGGCAAAAAGTCCTGAATACCAATGTCAAGTTCAATCGTAGCAAGAACCGGAATCACATAGAAAATTTGTGAGTTAATTTACATGGCAAAACCGTCACAAGAAGTGCAAATTTTGTTTTATGCGCTTTCTGTCTGTCATTAATTTATTTTCAAGACCTGCTTTTGACCAATTTTAATTTTATCTGTACTTATCTATCCTCTATTATATTTTTCAAATACTTTGCTGCATCGAAATCAGTTCTTCTCAGAATATTAGAATCAAATGGCCTTTCAATGTTTTTCAGTTTCCTCTTGTGTAACATCCTTTGGAAATTTTGGTTTCCTACATGCCTCTCATTTCAGACGTTTTTCAGTGACCCTGTGTACACTAATACCGGTACTGTTTGCAAATAAAGCCAGCATTCAGACTAGGAAAAAGCTGGCTTGTGATCTGAACTGACACTGAACACCTACGCTGGGGATACCCGTGGCCACAAGTTAGGCTTGAAGTGTCCTCTCCTAACACCAATGTAATCTGGCACGTCTTTACATCAGTCTTCGTGGATTACCAGTTTGCCCTATTCTTAACCATGGTTCTGTTATTCAGTTGATACTTAAAAACACTACTTGTGAGATGATAAGGAGCCCAACAACAGTGTCGGGAAACTTCCTAAGAATTAATCAAAAATTAAGTAATATTGCGGAGATAGTATATCCCATATGTTAAACGGCGAATGACCAGGGGCCATATTGATCAACATTCCTATGAAGAAATAGCTTTTTTCCATGAAGCGCTCTAGTAGCCAAATATAATGCAATAATGCTGCCCTTAATTTTTTGGTGCAGACCAGGCGAGTTATATGTTCTCGCAGTATTATATTGAGAAATTGCTTACCTTTGAATGTTCTGTTTGGAACAAATGAATTCTAATAGCTAAATATTTCTACTACTTTCGTTTTTGAAGTTGTGTATAGAGTACCGAAGTGATGACGTCATAAAAATCTATTTTTAGAATTTCTGAATTTCGATCCCATAACCTGAAAGAGCATCATGAAATACCTCTAAGTATGCAAAATCAGTTAAAGGCACTACAAATTGGCTGGGATATGGCCAATTGAGCACAGGCTCTTGTCCAATCAACCTCTGTCAATTCGTCTTGGTTCATAACTTTATGAACCAGGCCAGAATCACAGCAATCCGTTAGCAAACTTGAAATCTTTCATTGGCTATATCTCGCCCAATTTGGAACATATCTAACTAATTTTGCATATTGAGAGGTATTTTATGTCGTTCTTTCAGATTATGTGACCAAATTTGAGTAATTCTAAAAATAGATTTTTGATGACGTCACACTTAGGTACTCTATTGCACCGGAAATTTATGTTTCAGCATAACCAAATGAACAATGCATGCGCAGTTCCAACTTTTAAGTAAAGTAGGCTTATCTAACCATACAAATGAAGCAATTGTCATTTATTCGATGATATTTGCTAAGAGAAGGGTTATGATACTGGATATTCCAAAGTACTCTATATTTAAACAGTATCTTTGGTTGGAATGTTCAATGGTGGCAGTAATGTCCTCAAGGGAAATGAAGAACAATCGGTGCCTCAATATCGATTTCAGAAAGGCAAGCAGATGCCATTCCTCCCTAGGCCTTAATGAATGCATGTTACAGTCATTCTTATTAAATTCTACCCGTATAAGACGGACTGAAAGGAATATTTTCCTATAGGTTTGGCCTAAAGCATTTTTAAGCATACAGTCAAAAGGCTTTAATAAACAGGGTTTCTAAATCGGTATTCACCCATTTACACACGGATTTATGCCTCCAAAGCCTGTTATACAATGTGTTGACGTCAGTGCTTAATGATCAAGGTGCGCAGTTCAGTTTTACTTAGTAAAAATTTTATTGGTTTTTGACTGCCTGTGTCAAGCCTGTGGCTACATCTTGAAATTCATGTGGTTCTTCCACTTGCTTAATTTATACCCCTATGAAGTTGTTTAATCGAAACCAACTTCATGGGGCTACAAATTTCTAGAAAGATTCTTGCTTATTCTTTAGCCATTGGTTTGCCGGTGAATTCCCGAAACACATATGACACCGGCCATTTCACTTCTCATGCGGCACAACCCGCAATAATGTAGCGAAGGGGGCTCAGTGTCTTATACTGTTCTTGAAACTATAACATTTGCTTTACCTTGATGCTAAAAATAGGCCAAGTCGTCTATCATTAGTGGGGCTACATGGCCCCCAGTCTTCTCATTGACGTCGTCATTGATTGGGTTGCTGTCTATAATGCAGTTAGTGAATAAAACTATGCTTAAGCACATCAGTAGTAACAAAGGAAATATCCACTTTGATCGATGTAGCAGAGCAGCGATTTGTATTGTGAATTCAGAAGTAGATTCATGTGTTTGTCAAATGTCGCTACAAATTGCATTTATTTTCAGTGTATTGTTTGTTTGGTTTCCAAGTGACTTGCATCACGCTACATGTTAATTCCTCTAGTTATATTCTTAGTTTTCTGCTGCTCTTTTACCTCGATTTCTCAAAGCATTTACTTTTTTGAAAATGTATCCGTTTCGCTTATGGATGTGCAGCAACTTTTTTCTCCATTTATATGGACTGTGACGCGATTCTCAAAATTTCTTCATTGCAAAGAGATTGTTCCTGATTTCTTAAGTCTTTCATTCTCTTTTTAGCTGTTGCTCACATTTCAGTCTTCCCTCTTTTATTCTTTCATACCATTCCAAGCATCTTTTCAACCGTGCCGTTCCTGTAACGTCATACTTTCGTACCATGAAGATTTATACTAAAATGCATTCGTATTAAAACGAGGATTGTTCATTCATACGTAAATATTAGATTGAATAAAACTTTACCATGTTGACTTCTTTAAAGCACACCTAACTCAATATAAAGATTTAATTAATGCAACAATCTGTCCAGGCTGATTCCACAAAGTGGCCGAAAATCCTTCTAACTGGGTACGATTATTTAATGATACCCGAAATAAATTTTTGTTTGAAAAAGGCCGGTTTCTTATCATTTGAAATTTACACTGAGTAATAATCCACCAGACTGAGGGAGGAGCGAAGAAATGGGAGGTTATTACAAAATGGAAAGGCATATTTTGATGTCATTGAGCTTTCTTAGAGCAATTTTTGCGCTTATTAGAAGGAAGTAGCTCAGATCCTGATGCTCTTTAACAATTCCAAAGAGGCTGCTCTTTGCACCCTCTTATATAATTTTATTGCCTATTACATATGTGTTTACTCAACAGTACTGCACCTACGAGTCGATGCCTCGTAAAGATATATTTCATTTGATATATAGAAAATTTTGTCTAGTTTAGCAGAAACGTTTTCATTTTGAGTCACTTCGTCACCACCATCCACTTGCACTGCAACTGCTTGGAAACATCGCACTGACCAATTTGCCCTAGCAGTATTTGGCTAAGCTTTGCTTTCGATCAGGTCACAAGGGCGCACCTTCAGAAAGTTTACTTGGAGATATATTGTTTGGTTATAAACCCCCACCACTCCGGACTACACTAGACGATTTGTTACATAGTACATAGTACTTTATTTTAGCTCCCTCTTAGAACTCTTGCTCTATCAGTATTAAAAGTGCCTGGGCCGAGACCATGATTGGTTGTTTACGGGCGATATGTTCTTTCGAATTTCATAGTAAATTCTGCGTATAATATCTTTTCTTTTTTTATCAATTGTCTTCTTTTTTACAACAAGGACTAATTTTCTATCCTGCGTTTGTTTGCATCTGTGGTTTGCAAACTGTCATGAAGAGTTTAATATTTCGTTGTGCTCGTCCTTGTGTGCGTAAGGGTTGGTTGGCACTTTTTGCAAGAATGGGGTGCAAGAGCTGGAAGTTCCTGAATATTGAGAAGCCAAACTACTTGCACTGAGGCAGCTGAAACACACCTTCGCAATTGGCTGTGTCTATATCTGCTTTTGTCACAACATTTGAGCATTTTGTCTTTTTCTCGTTATCCGGCATGATATTCGTTCCGTCTTGTTAGAGACAGTTGATATTATATCTTACTTGGTTGGGGTTTTTTTTAAGTATCCTAGTAAAATATATTATAAGCCTGTTTAATGTCTGGATGTGGAACTTTATCTGATCCACCATACACTTTAGTGGGCCATCTAGCCCTACCAATGACCCAGTTGTATAATAGGTACTTGCTTGTGAAACGCTATCCTCACCGAATTTGCAAAGTTAGCGATATATCAAATAACCAGAAAAGCACATTTTTGTGTCAAAACAAGAAGGATGTGGGTACCTTCCCATTGTCCCTTGTAGTCCTGATGAGCTGTCTGATTGGTTAAATCAAGCAGTCACTTGGGCCAAGGGCTTGCAAAGTAAACTTGAAACCAGGTCACAGTGCTTGCTGTTTGAATTGGAATACTTACCATAAGCCGATCGTTGCATATTGATTTTTGTTAATTCGCTGTTCTATCCATTCATTTCTTTGTGTGAGATTCTTTACAAAATCGATGAAAATTTCCAAACTTCATTTTTTTCGAGGGAACATTGATCAAGGAATTAGTTTTAAGTATTTCATTGCATTTGGAGAGCCTCTTTCCTGTGCCGCTGTGCATTGTTTGCAATAGACTAAATTGTTTGGGCTTTTATCTCTCATGGAACTCCAATGTTAAACCCATTATTACGCACCGTTGGGTTATGTCGATCGGTATCACATTTCATGTATTTGATAGGTTGTAATAGAGGGATTTGTAGCTGTGAGATTTGTGTTCGTTTGGTCGTCGACGCCATTTTGAAAGTAAACATCTCGCACAGACAAGGCGCAAGCCCTTGCAGGAGTAGGGCTTCTCGAGAACATCGAAAGGATATTACAAGTCGATAATCGTAAGTGCCTCTGCGCCGTATCATTACTGTTGCTTGTTTCTAATGAGGTAAATTAGTCTTTGCTGCGAAAGTCACAATAACTTGTAAATATATATAAATGTGTGTGTGTTGATCTTTATTGTTGGTAAACATGTCTTTAAATAGTACCTCGGTACACAGTAATTTTCGCTGCCTGCTTGTATCAAGCCCGCGAAACTTTGGGTTGAGGTCAATGTCGTCCGGACATTAATCCATACGATTTCAGTCAATTCGCCGTCATTTATTCTGGGTCTGGCTGCATAAAACTCACGTACTAGCTTTCAGATTTGTTAGATTTAAAGTGATCACAAATTCGCTCCCTGTCTATCAATTTTCAGTTATAGTGTGTTACAGCAGCCATCTTTATAGCTTCGTGACACTTCTGCCTCAACTTTTCTTAAGGACGAACATATCATACTGGGCAGTGAAGAGCGTTCTTGCCCGAAATAGATTATATATCCTTAATGCCCTCGCTTTGTAGCACGAAAAACTTTTATCCTTCCCGTTTTTCATCATGCTCACGCAAGCTACAAAAGCATCCAAACAAAGGATTTTGGATTTCTTAATAGAATCTCACCCCTTCCAACGTCCTCTAGCATCTTTGCTATTTGATGGTCTAGTTATGTCCAGGTCAAAATGTATTTTATGGAATACATTTTCCCGATACATTTTCCGTTGCATACCGGCTGTCAAAAATTCCTTTTTATCCAACAGATCGTTCATTTGTCTCAGTTATCAGAAGGCAAGGATTTTTTTGTTTTTCACGATGCATCTATCTGTCATTTTTTTTAAGGCAGTACACTCTTTTTTATAAGAACCAGTAAATTTAAGTTCAGGCTGACTGTTCTTAATTTTTTCAAAAATCTGAGGCTGGATTGTTCTTAATTTGTTCTTAAATTGAGAGGGTGTAAGCAGTGCTATTGCTAGCTTTTTCGCTCTAAGGAGGTGTTCAGGCCTCATTTGCCAACAAAGTGAGTGAGACAGCCTTAATTTGCTGACAAATTTGAATATTCACCGGAAAAGCACCCACACATCGCTAAAAACCCGATTTTGAGAAAAAACGTTGTTCAAAATTGCATTTTGCAGAAGCTCAGCCTCAGCTTGTTCTCAATTTGTTCTTAACTTTTGACCAGTTTTGAGGCTCGTGTTCTTATAAAATTGTTCTTATAAAAAAAGAGTGTAGTTTATGAAAACTGCCAGGGCACAAATGAGATGAGATAACACAGAATATGCCCACAAGGATGTTTTTGTTATGTTTGGTTGTTTTGATGCAGTAGGATTACATTAGGTTGCTAGTTTATACTCAATTAATTCTTCCGGAGGTTTTACTTTCCGTTATGCCTCGAAAGTCCTTGTTAATTCTCTCTACTATGGAAACATAATGTCGTTACAATTGAAATGCCTCTATCCTTATCCTTAAGAAACTGATAAAATAGCTTATAGTCCTGTTACATCACATAAACAATTATACGTCAAAATAAACTTTTTCGACTTGTCTTGCCATCTACAAACCTTACCCATGTGTGTATGTATCATTATAATCAACATACAGTAAAGTATGTTGGGAGAATGTGTTTAATTGTGTGCAAAAGTTGCTTTTAGCGATACCTTTGAATGTTCATCCCGGGTCATTTTTCCTCAATTGCAAGTTTAACATTCTTTTAATGGAAGACACAAGACAAGGGAAGTGCAGCAATTAAAAGGGCAGATATCGTAAGCGCCTATTCCATTGTGTACCAACCGACGATCATTTTTCTATTAGAATCCACAACCCAAAAAGCCACCCAAAATTTGCAAGTTCACTGTGGCATTATTAGGGTTTTGCTAAGGAAAAGTGCGTCGAGGAAGAGGCTTGGGCTGAACCAGGCACCGCGGAGCAGGGGGGAGGGATCCTTTTTGCAAAAATTTTAACTATTAAGCGATCAACCACCAGTAAAGTTTTAGCCCCTTCCCCTCGCTTTTTTAGACCTTCCACTTTTCTCAACCCTTTGCAGTTCCTGTGAACATCGGCTCTTCAAAGATAGGTGATTATTGTGTTTCAGAAGTGCGTAAATGCTGTTGGTGAAGATTGACCCTTGAAAGAACTTCTATGCATTCATGCCAAAATAACTATGAAAAATCTCAAAGTAAAAAAGAATAAAAAACGCCGGTGTTAGGAACGAACTTAATGCCCTTATCAAAAAAGCGTGTTGTACGATTAAATTTCGAACATCGCATGGTAGACTCAGTGTTGTAGTGCTATCAAAATAACAAGGGGGGCTCTTGCACAATATATTGCGAAAAACAACAGCAAAAGTAGAAAATTGCCAATTTTGGGCATCAGCCCCCCCCCCCTGAGCCTCCCAGCTCTACACCCCTGGATAGACCTGAAGTGTTTGAACAACATTTACAGGCACGGCGCCACACAATAAAATATTTTTCTAACTAATTTACTAACTAATTTATACCGTCTTTACTAACTAATTTCGAAAAAAGAGTATCAAAAATGAACAAACTTAATTTTACTAATTTATTTAGGAATACAGTAGGTTCCCGCATATAAGAAACCACTTTTTAAATTGAGGCCTCAGAACGTTTCTTATTTCAACATACCTTTTTATAATCAGGGTAAAAGTTTCTTATATATAGGTTACAAATTTTTTAAATAAGCAGCTAAGCTTTAAGTGTTAGCCCGTGTTTGGTTATGCCAAATTATGTTATTTATTATTAAAAGAAGCATAAAATGATTTATTTCCTCTGAAAAAATTGTTTTAAATTTCTTAAAAATGTGCACCTTATAAGTAGTTTTTAGGATACGGTGAGATACGCTGTGGAGACAAGAGGTAGAATAAAGTATGACGGATCTGAAAAGAAGAAACATTTCAATTTCAGACCTGAAATTGTTTCTTATAAAAGGAGCCCTTTGGAAAGAATTTGAGGCTGGTTTCTTATACAAGGGGATTTCTTTTATACTGTATTTCTATTATTTGTCTATTATTTGCATCAACTCAGTAGATAACTTTCTGTCATTGCAATGTCTGCATTTTGGATGTGTTAACATGGCCTACTGAAAATACTCGAGTCAAAAAAGTTGCACATTTCTGTTCAGGAAGTAAAATTTTCTAAATAAATACAACAGCCTCTTGCTATTCACACCAATGTGCACTTTAAACCAAAGGTCACACTTTATTTCTTTCACCAACGTCTGTCACTAGAGTTTTAGCATGACTCCTCCCATCCCAAATTTTTCCTAAAAATCGATAATCAATGTTTTTCTGAAAATCGTCGAATTGTCTGTTTTGAACGGTATAGTAATTTGTTAAATTTTGATCGGGGAGATGCTTTTTTAGCCATTCTAGGAGGAAGATTTTCAAAAATTTCTTGCGCGTCGGACCCAACCATGATGGGTCCTCCTTCTGTTCAAAAACTGATTTAGGTGGCTGGTGCTGTTTTGCTTCTTCTGCAGAATTATCGAAGCCCTCCACAACTGTCTGTTTCAATCTTGTTGTAACATCAACAGACCTCACAAACTCTAGTTGAGTTATCAGCTGCTTCAGAAGGCCCTGTCTAGGTCATCGTCTTCTAATAGATACCTTTAAAAATTAAGATATGATAAAAACCCCAAAGCGCCTATCAGCATCCCAGGTCATCGGTCTTAATCTAACTTTTTTCATCATTTTTATGCTCTGTGTTATTATGTTTAATTCCCCAACATACCTTATCGTTAATAATACTGATCTTGTAGTCAAAGTAACAAAACACTCACATTGTGTTTATTCTAGATATTCTGATTGACATCAGCACATTGAAAAGTTGCCTATCTGATAATTCCATTGTGGTTGCTCATTTATACTAGTAAGAATAAATCTGCCTCAGTACGAAAATCCTTATGACAAAATGCATAAAGCTTTTTCTTTTTGCGTCGTTGAAACAGCGAAGTATTTATATTTTTGCGGTGAAGGCCCTTCCTTAATGCATTAGCAAAGCTCATTTATATTATCTAGAAATTTACGTTGTTCGAAAATTTTTGATGCCTTGGTTTCACAAATGTCCTTGTTAAAGAACATTGCAAATATGATAGAGGGACATCAGAAGCTCGGGAGTTTGTGGGCTGTGGAAAGCGGGGGTGTCTTTAAAAAGTAGATTCAACGATCCAGTGAACTATTATTGTTTGGTTATAAACCCCCACCACTCCAGACTACTCCAGAGGATTTGTTCGCATACATAGTACTTTATTTTAGCTCCCTCTTAGAACTCTTGCTCTAGCAATATAAAAGGAGGCTGGGCCGAGACCATGATTGGTTGTTTACGGGCGATGTGTTCTTTCGAATTTCATGGTAAATTCTGCGTGTAATATATTTTCTTTTTTTATCAATTTTCTTCTTTTTTTACAATAAGGACTAATTTTCTATTCTGCGTTAGTTTGCATCTGTGGTTTGCAAACTGCCATGGAAAATTTAATATTTCGTTGTGCTCGTCCTTGTGTGCGTAAGGGTTGGTTGGCACTTTTTGCAAGAATGGGGTGCAAGAGACGGAAGGTCCTTGAAAATTATTATGTTTTATGAGGCTGCTTTAAAGGTAGTCAAAAACGTTTTTTCGCTTGTAACTTGTTCACACACTGCGATGGAAATTGTTTTGTGAGGCAGGTGAATGTTGGCTTAAGAGGTTCGCTACCGAACATACTAAATAGAAATCCCCTTCGCATTATCTCCTTCATAGAACCTCTTCATTCAAGATGCAAGACTCTTTGTTTAGCTGTAGGCTATTTGGCTTCTTTTAACGTGCCGTTACAATTTCTCATTCAATTCTGTTCTTGTCTCAGTTTCTTTCTTCGCCAGTTTGCACAGTGTTCAAGGAATCGTAAGCTTTAAAAACTGCTTTGATTTGGCAAATTGGTTTTTTGAATTTTTTATTTTTGAAACGGAACTTTTAGAGTTGTGATGCATGTCACCGTAGAGGCCTTAACATTTCTTTAGGGTCCTAAGATTTCGTACCACAAGGCCTAAGATCCTTTAGGGTCCTAAGATCGCGTGGTGGCCCAAAAGGACTCGGGAAATTTCCCTGTAGGCCCCTGAAATCTTTTCATGTGGGCCCCTTGGATTTTTCTTCCTTTTAAGCTTATATCATTTACAACATCAGATTTGTGAGAAGAAACAGGTGAAGTAAGGCCCCACGCTGCCCCCGCGACACTCAGTTCCAACATGTTATAAGAGGTGACAACAAGAAATAATCATCGTGTTTTGTTTTTTCACGTTGTTTTCCAAGTTTTATCAAAATATCTCTTGTAGTTATTTTTTCACAATTTTTTACTTTCTAGAGGCAGTTATTTTGCATTTTCTGAGTACTGCCTCTTTAACATCATTGCTACATATTTTCTTATTGGTGCTTTTGTTATTGTTATTTTCTATTGGCGACTTACTTAGTCGTTCAAGCTGTTTGCAAACAATAAAACTTGGAATCTGATGTTGGTCTGAAATGCTATCAACGAGTAACGGACTTTGGAGTTTGACGCGGGCAACCTGATTCCTTGGAAACAGCACGTCTGTTTTTCATGTTGTATATTTGTATCGCCAGATAAAGCTTAAAGAATTCTTATATGATCTCAGACAGGTTTAGATGAAGTTGGTCGAGCCTCTTGGGCGCCAGGAATCCTTGGCTTACTTTAGATAAAAACTATTGATTCTTTTGGAATGCATTTTCACAATGACGTTGATAATGTAGACAGCGGCCAGTAAATCAAACAATTTATCCGTTTTTCAAAACGTTACAAGTTAGTTAACAACCAGGACAGACCCTCGTAAACTAATCCATTGAATTCCTCTTTATGATTGCTCTTTACCTTGCACGCATAGAAGTGCCTTACGTTGACCTCTTTATTGTAAGTCCTTGACGACACTCCACATTTATTAGTAACCCGAAATTTTTAAAGGACTAACGCCAATAATCTCTGGTATATATATATATATCAATATATGTTTTTTGATTTCACAATTCTGTTTTAGATTTTGGCTGTAAAACAATTTCGTGGCAATATTTGCCACACAGTATATATAAAGTCATTTTGCATAGTTTTAACCCAACCAAATTCAATCAACCAAATTTTTTTAGTAAGGAGGATGTCCCTTTTCAATAAAGCATCGTAGCTAAAGGGCTTTCCAAGAGGTTTTATAGGGATTGTAGCAATAAAGGGCTGTCTTGCTCAGTGGAGTAAAATCATTATGAATCTTTCGTTGTTATTAGGAGATTGTCGGTTTTTTCTTGAAAACGCTGATTTATCGTAAATGTTTTTATCAATCTGTCTGTGCCTGCATTAATAGAGCTAAAAGAAACTCCAGAAACAGTTGCTGATAAAATCGCATTCTTTTGGTTTACTGGGTTGCAGTCAAAAACCTTCCAATATTCATGAGAATGTCTCGCCTGCTTAGAAACTCAAAATGTAACCCTCTTTATTTTCATTGACGTCCTTGCAAAAAACTACCCTCAGAGTTCACTGCTTGAAGATAATGACTGATCGTCAGAATATCATGAAGATCTAAGGCCTAGTTTATCAGTGTGATAAAATATTGTATTATATGAGGTAGAGAGAAAACTCTTATCAAAGGAAAAGGTCTTGTTTACTTATGAAAATTTTTAGCTGAAGTCAAAACTATGTTTAGAAGATTAACATTAAATGTAAGAATGTGAAGAAGTTTTAAGTACTTTTAAATGATAAAACCAGAAGTTTCTACCAGTGGCTCTATACCTCAGCGATACAACTTTTTACCCTTATGCTATTTCAATAGTTTGTTTGTTAGATATGCTCGGTATATGAATTGTTTAGCAAATATTCTTTCAATCTTGAATTACTTTACTTAGCCTCATCTTGAAGGAGCTGTCATAGTGGAACTATACACCAAACTGAAAAGACATATCATTTGTCAGTAATTATATCTAATAGCAAGCAAGTGCTTATTTTTCGACACTCTCAGTCGAAAAGTTCACCTTGTCATTCGTCTTATTTGCTCTTGGGGCTCTAATCTTATATTAAAGGTCTACGATACACACAAAGTATGAAAATATCAACACTCACTGGGGTCAGTATAGTTATCGAGTATATTTATACATTAGTATTTTTACACCTTTGCACAATTATGTTGCTAATGTTTCTAAATGAATTGTTTTTTCTCTATCCTTTTTTGGGGGTTGGCAAGCCCTAAGTCTCACGAAAATACAAGTAAGTAGCGCTAAGCCCCTAGATTCCTTCTGTCAACGGAATTATGGGAAGACAAAAGTATCTATTATTTCACCGAGGTCCTGCGAAAACAAGGATTGTTAGAATTCTTTGAGCTTTGTGCAAGAAGAAAAGGATTTAGTAGGATAGCGACAGTAAAGATATATGACTGCTATAAACCATTCTTTCAGTATACTTGAATTAATTAAATGAATGTGGCAGTCGTTTGCTGTTATCACGCTCAAGACTAGTTTTATGTTTCGATGGCCAATTAACCCACTTGCAAATAAACTAATTCCAGAATACATCGTTGAAATGTTCTTAAAAAAACAGTGTCGCTGTGCTGGATTTCATGTGATCAAGAGCTATATTAAATTTCTCATTGGACGACAATCTTCATTAGCAATTTACGTAAGGGTTCCAGAGAAGGAAGGGCTCTTTCCCTTAACGTGTTTCATATGCTTGTGCATGTTTGGCTGCCAAAATCTACCAAAAATCCCCTTCCCCTCCATCATCATCCGTTATGACGCGTATAATTCTCAAATACGGTATTGAGATCATTCTGTGCCGTGATCCAGAATTATAGGACCTTTTAGGCATAAGGAGGGATTACCCCCTGCTTTTTTCAGAGTTACATAAATTGCTATCATCATGCTATCATCTTCCAGCTAATAAGTCTAGGAGACAATTCTCATCGCATTCTGGAGTTTATTTTCGATTGTCTCTTTGATTACCTCTTCAATTTAGAACCAAACATTTAGCGAAAGCAAAGGCAGCAAGATTGTCTTTCTCGATGATAATAGTCACTTCGTGTTTCCCGCAAGATTTAGTGCCCCTGAGCCCCCTCTCATTTTCCTCGTTTCATGTTACTTGTGGCCCCAACAAAACTGCCACTATAGCACTGTCTCTTAAATACTGTTTTTCTCTTTTTGCATCTTTTATGAGCAGTAACAACATCAAATGGTCGCCAGTATCAATTTTAGAAGCGTTTTTATGTATCTTGAAGAAGTAAAATCTCTTTCAAAAAACATGCCCTGATTTGAAACTTTGTTCAGGCAGGGTTTCAAACAGCTCAACGAAAAAGCCTTAAGAATATTATAAACCATGCAACCTAATCGGATCTCGAGATGTTTTTACGAATAGCTATGTTTTTTTCAATTGATGCTAATGCTAGGTGGCAAGCTTCTTCTTTGCAATCCATTTTTATTGCAATAACTTCCAGCCTTCTGTCTGTCCTGTTTTTGACCGCTGAGGGCTGCTGGGCTAGCTCTTCTGGTGGTTGGCCATACTTGAGGTCACACGGTTACGCTCTCTAAAACCTTGGTTTCCCACTCTCCTCAAATATTATTCTACTCGATTTTCAATTGATAACTTGTTTTTCCAACACATAATGCTATCCAAACTGATTGAGACAACGGTTTTTCTTTTCATAGAGGCGATGAATGCGGAGTTGCAAGACGAGGAGAACGATTGCAGGAACAGGAAAGAAAGATTTAAAACAGAAAAGCCAAAGCTTAAGGATACCTTGTTATCAATGGAAAACAACAACTACATGAAATCGCCTCGGAATTTGAACTCTGGCGCGCTATCAGTTGGAAAAGGATCTAATTTGCAGCCAAGGAACGCTAGACGCCATGTCCACTTTCCAACTGGAATGGAGGCAAATGGAAAGCCTGACACTGTTCATCGACTGACTGTAGATGGTAAGTCATCTACGCCAAGGCGACCTGGAAAATTTATAACAAGAGGCCGTTTTGCAGGGCTAGTTGCGACTCCAATCATAGAAGACAATAACGCTGATCAATCCAAGGAGCAAACAGTCGTTGCCGACTCCCATTCCGATTCAGCAAGAAGTCATTCGAGCTGCTCAAACGATACTTGGGACGGGAAGGAATCTTTTCTTACCCACTCAAGAACAGACTCGGCAGATACGAATTCTGTGAGTGATGGAGGAAGCTGGTCAGGGCTGAGTTATGGACACAGCTCCTCGAATAGAAGCAATCGTGTTCCAAGAAGCAAGGCAGTGGGACATAGTGATGTTATTAGAAAAACACTTGCAAAAGACTTTAAAGATGTTATGCTGAGATCACGCTCTGAAGAACTCAAGCACAAGCAGAAAGTTTGTCAGTATATAGCTGCTGAGGGAAAAGTAAGGGATTATCTGTTGTCCACAGAAAAACATTTACCCTACATCCATTCCTCTGACAACGAATCTTCGGTTTGCAGTGGATCAAACAGTACCTCAAGTGACGTTCTATCGCCAGTAACCAGACCAAGGAGGACAATTAAAGATCTCAGCAGCAATATTTTGATCAGAATATTTTCAAATTTGTCAACGAAAGACCTTGTAAAGGCATCTGCTGTTTGTCGAAAATGGTACAAGATTTGTTGGACTCCCGACTTATGGTCAGTCATCGATTTAAGTGGTTGCAGTGGAGACGTGAACTCAGTTGTTGAAAATATCCTCAGACGACTATCCAAAATTTCTCAATACGCCTGTCTTGTTATACACACTTGGAAACTTAACTCGTGTAAGAACCTGTCTGATGAGAGTCTAAAGCTGATTGGGCGAAGGTGTCCTGAACTAAAACACATGGAGCTCGCTAAGTGTCCGCTTATCACTGGAGCAGGGGTTGCTGAGATATTCGCCAATTGCCCAAATTTATCGTTACTCAACATTGCGAGTTGCAATGAAGTCGCATCAATCGATTTATCGTTACAAAACGGCGTATCATACGGCGAAAACGCGTCCTTTCTACAGCTTCACTACATTGACCTAAGCGAATGCCTTGTTGACGACGCTGGCCTCGACATGATAGCGAGGAGCTGTAGTTTCTTAGAGTACTTATACTTACGTAGATGCGAGGCAATAACAGACAAAGGCTTGATATCTGTCGCGAACTATTGCACAGGGATACGGGAAATGAGTGTTAGCGATTGCAGTTATGTCACTGATAGTGGCTGTAAATTCTTGATCAAGAAGTGCCATGATTTGAGATACATTAGCCTTGCAAAATGTTTAATTACCGACGATACGCTGAAGCATATTGCGAGGTATTGCAAGAAAGTCAGGTATCTCAACCTCCATATGTGTCACAGCATAAGCGACGAGGGTGTGGCGCGCATTGCCCAGAGCTGTGAGAAGATGCGGGCCATTGACATCGGGAAATGCGAAAAGATTTCGGATACGAGCTTGAACTTTATTTCAATTAACTGCCCGCACTTGCGCCGTCTCAGCGTCAAGGGATGCGACAGAATAACTGACTCAGGGTTACGCAAATTAGCTACACATTGCAGAAGTTTAAAACATTTAGATGTACAAGAATGCGAATTCACATTTGAAACATATTTATATTTGCGACAAAGATGCGTTAATTGTGTGATAGAGCATACGAAACCAGAGTTTTATTAGAGTAGTTTTAAATGTAGCAAGCAGATTTTAATTGACATTCACTGTGACTTGTTCTATAAAAATTGATCCTCGAGCATTTTTGAGATGAGACATTGTGTCCTTCTATTGAAGAACTGCATGCTTGCCTTGTTACGTAATCCAAACGTCTAGGGCTGATTTTAACAGAACTTTTTAGTCACAAACTTAGCTTGCTTTTATGGCTGAATTTTCCTATGTTAATAGAATACTTGAAACTTGTTCTTCGAAAACGTTTGATTTCTGAGCAAGCATAGTTAAAATTGTGGAAAAATGTTATACTAATTTCCCGGTACCAATAACCGTAGACTTGAGAAAACAGCTCATATGTTTGAATAAAAAGATGCTATCTCCATTGAGGACTCTCTGATAGAAAAGTTTTGTATCTTTGTTTCTAGATAATTATTTCAGGAAGCAAACATGCGTTGTAAAATAAAAGGGATGTATATTTGAATTTTTTTATATTAGTTTTATTTTATTTCATTATTCGTCTGGAAATAACTTCTTTCGAATTGATAGAATGCTTCAAAGTAGACAGACGCTAAAACATAAAGGGTATTAGTAAACGGTTCAATCTTAGATAGTATTTTGACAAAGAAATCACAATATACGGTTGTTTGTGAATATAATTAAGTAACATGCATGGTCTTTCATTAATATTTGGCTGGTTGGCATGTTAATCTTGCAGTTTCAGAAAGCAGCATTTGTTTCTTGTGTTTCTATGCTTCAAACGTTCATATACACTGAATTATTTTGTATAAATGATTCTTGTTTCTAGTGTTTACTTTCTCTATTCATTAAAACCCGAGAAAGAGAGCCCCTTGTTACATTTCCTGTTAGTTGTTTTACACGCCATCTTTCTGCTGTGTTTAGCAGTCAACAAGTTTTATGTCATGGACTTAAAATTATGTATGTGCGGACATGTTTCAGTGTCCCAAAACTATTTAGTTGTATATACGTACTTCTGTACTGTTGATTTAAATACAATCGATTATCAAGATCGAAAGTGAATATGGCATTTTCTGTTTTCTCTCTCTTCTATTTAACATTTTCAATGCAGTCCGAAAATTCCCGATTTTAACGCCTCTTGTCTGTCGACATCCGCAGCCTCTTATCCAAGCGTAGGCTCAGGTAGCAAGGGACTGTAGCAAGAAAAAGTCCATAAGTTTCTCCTGTTAAATCCTTTTCTGTAAAGCAAATTCATCAAATCTCATCAAATAGTAATACTTCGTGCTATACAATGATTTAGACTTGAATTATGACTCTTAGTCACCAGCTATACATGTCAAACATATATTTACATGATAATTCTGGCTTATCAATAATAGGACAGTCTCGTGACCGAAATTGCCAATTCACTCTTTAGCCAATGCTTAATATTCTTATTTGAGTAGTGGATAGCAAGTGCCAAAAAGAGAGTCATTCGTCAACAAAGGTTTCCACAGGGCAGACAGCTCGGACTATGTTGTTGTTTCAGCTATAGGTTTAGTAACCACTTTTCTCGTTGAAACTATGTTTTAAGGCTCAACGTTGTATGCAGTAACCATCAAGTAATCTAACAGCAGCTGTACAAGAATTAGGAAGGATATTGTGGTACGTGGGTAGTAAGTACCAATGCAAACATTCACCCATAGCTCTGTTCAATTTGGGCTCTCTCCCTTGTCGGTGTCGTGGCCGTTGTGAATGGGGTAAAGAAGGCCGTTGCGAGCGGGTTAAAGAAGGCCATTACGAGCGGGCCTTGCGGAGCGGGGTAAAAAGTACTATCGCGAGGGAGGTAAACAGGGCCATTGTAAACAGGGAAAAAGATACCCCACGTGAAAAAGCCTGATGTCTGATTGTCTCAATGCTAAAAAAATAAAATAATTTTTTCTACGTGGTCTACATTGGACGGGCTCCTTACCCAGGCAACAGGTTTGGGAAACACTTAGGAGAGATTGGCAGAGTGGGGTCTTCAGCATCGAAAATGTTCTATTCTATTAGTGTTGAATGACGTATGATAAATTTATCAAAGCTAGTATAAGGTTCTTTTGGAATAAACAATGAAATTGTTTGATCCTTCATATATTACCATCCTTTCAAATAGTAAGAAATCATATTCAACTTACCAAACACATCCAGCTTCCATTCTCATTTCCTAAACTCTAAAACTTTTTGAATCTTTGTTTTCGGTCTGTGAATTCTCGGCAGTACCAAGTTATGTGTTACTTTGCCAAAGTTCTTTTAAATTATAAGGAGCTGATAGTTGCTATTGACGTAATTAACTGCTACGTAGTTGCATTCTCGAAAATAACTTGAAAAGTTACACCTTTAAACATAAGCTGATTTATTCATTTTCTCTGATTTGATCAAGAAACGCGAAATCGAATAAGTCGATTAAAAGAAAATTATCTACAGAAACTCTGGCAAAGTGATTTGCGAGCGCCTTCTTTGCCCTTTCTATTCAATGAATCTATGTTAATAACAAAAGCATATCATCATCATCATCAGTAACGGAAGGGTCAAGACTAACCCGCCGTGGCACACGCAATGGTTGTCCGCCAAGTGTCCCTGTCTTGCGCCTTCCGAAGCAGCTCGGCCATGGTCATTCCCAGTAAATCTTCCACGTCGTTCTCCAGTTTCCTTCGTGGTCTTCCTCGTTTCCTCTTTCCGTCCACCATTCCCGAAAGAATGTCATTTCCCAAGCCTTTACTTCTCGCAACATGGCCAATAAAAGATAACTTCCTTTTGTTGATGCTGTTTATGAGGGTTGCTTGGCCGATCCTTTCCAGGACCCATTCGTTCGTTTTCCTTTCTCTCCAACTTATACGCATAATTCTTCTGTAACACCATATCTCGAAGGACGTCAGTCTGTTCCTGTCACATTTCTTGAGGACCCAACATTCACATCCATAAGTTGCTACAGGGAATACTAGCGTATGGAGGATTCGGATTTTTGATTGGAGTGTGATCGAGCGTATAGTAGATACATATGTATTGTGCTATACAAGGGTCACACTATAATTTTTTTGGGGGGGGGGCTAAAGATGATTTTTCTAAAGTTTCCTACCAAGCAGCCAAATTTCCTGAAAAAATGTTTACCTCAGAGAGGCTATAGATAGCCCTGCCTAAAAGTATTAAATTTTCATGGGTCTTGGAGCTTTAGCAACACTTACCACACCTTTTGGATACTCCTAAATTGTTTTTATGTATTTGGAAAACAATTCAGTTTTACGGGAAAAGAAAGAACAACATCTGTATACATCTGTATATTATTTTTGAGTGAATGAAAGAACAAGTCTTTTTTGTCCGACAGGGAATAACAACTCCTTTTTGAATTGTTGTTGTGGTTGCACAAACAGCTTGTTGGCGCGTAAAATTGGGTATGGGTGTTGCATAAGATCGTTGTATGGCTTGGTTTTTGTTCGCTTAAGAAAGGAGCAAATTATTTTTGCCATGGCTGAAACAATGAGCAAAGTAAAGAATATCGTATCAGGAATCCATAAAACTCTTGAATGTTCAATATGGTGAGTTAATTTGCAATGAGCATACGTTCTCGTGTCCTCGGATGCTTACCGGCCTAACATCACGATAGGCCTCTTTTTTGCACTAGCACCAATGAATTGATGCAGATCTATGAAAAACGGCTACTATTTAAGATTTTATGCTTCTATTAATACCTTTCATACCTTCCGTCTATCGCAGTTTCACCATTAATTGCTCAAGAGCTTTTTAACAATATCAGTCATCAAATAAAAATTTGATGTCTGGTTTGGCGGCAAATCCAATACTATTCATACAATCCATTACCGCCACAATGTCAAAAAGTCACTAAAAGTAAATTGAATTTTTAGGCGTTAACGGAAATCAAATCTTTAATTTACCATTTGATAGCCATTACAAAACCTTAAAAACAGAACAGCAGAGTCTCGTAATAACAATGTTTATACAGGAAGCTCTTATCACCGGAGTGATTCTCAGAGAGGGCGTGTTAGATTTAAATGGGTAGTTATTAAAGTTACTAAACAAAAATCTGTGAAAAAAGATAAAAATAGTATAAAGTTTAAAATGAAAGACTTCTAAAAGCGTCAATGTTGGGTGTGTGTCTGGTGGATATCTTTCAATTGTTCCAATCAGAGTCTGTTTAAAACATAAGTTTCTGTTTGCCATATTTTGTGCTTATTTGTTGTAAATGCAAATTCTGATGGTGCATGTGTTATGGTTGTGAACAGATTGGTATTTTCGTAAATATTAAAGATAAAGCCAGGTTGGAAAACATATCATTATCAGCTGTGACTTGTGAGCAGAAGCATTTGAACTGCAAGCAACGATGCCCATATATACATTATGAAAATGTGATCTTGTTAAAAATTTTGCACGATTATGCAACCCAAAAACTTTCTGTTAAATAGAATTTCTGGTGAAGATCTGTGCTAATAGCAGTGTGTAGAATGAACATTTTTATAATAAGGGATACAGTGCTGCTCCAACAACTAGTCATAGACATTACCTTAACAGACCTTTCCCGCTATGCATCTCTCAGTGATTACCTTAAAACTTTGAATTTTCTTTCAATGCAGTATGTTTTTTGTAAACACAAAAGTGCAAAATACCTATTCTTTATGGTTTAAACTACCAGTGCAATATTTTATAACTACATTGTAGACATTGAATTTGCACATGAATACTAATATATCAATTTTGTACATGGTAACTATGAAGAATAATTTTAACCCTTGAGTGCTTACTAGTTGATATTAATCATAATATTTTAAGGGGAATTCCTTTAGCTGAGCACTTATTTGGGCCAATGTTTTGTATATATGTATATATCTGTTTGTTTCCTTTTTAACAGCCTTGATATCCTGGATGAGCCTTTCTCAACAAAGTGCAATCACCAGTTCTGCAGGTAACTTTTTTTGCTCATAGTTTCCATTTTCAAAAAAAATATTCATCCTTTAAAAAATTAACAAGATTAACCTTTTTTATGATTGAATATAGGTATTATACTTGACTGATTTAATGAATGCTTAATAAAAATAGCATTTTGTGTCAGTGGCATCAATGAATTTTGCTGCTGGCAGTAAATTTCACTTTTTATTTTCTTTTAAGATAATAACCAATTATGACCTGTTGCTACCACAAAACAAAAGAAGGGGTTCCTCTTTAAAATAATTTTGCAAGTATTGTGTTGAAAACTTGATAACCCAGCACATAGCTAGTTTGATTCTCAGGCAATGAATCACAGAAGAGGTCACTTGGTAACTCAAATGATGGTTGCTGATCTCAAGGAGGGCATCAGGATGTGAGCCCAACGTGATTGGTTGTTTGTCAATTTATCCTGGGCAGACACTTCCAAGTGTGTAGCCTGCAAGCTTATCTGAGAGCATTCTAGCATAGCAATTGACACTATCATATTTCAGGGAACTTTGGGGGATATGTTAGATTCTGTTCCTTTTGTTCCCACAAGAATCTCAACAAGAAAACAATAATTTCATATGTTATTCACAATGGAATTATTTCAGCCCATTATAGTTGACTTGGTTAATTTCTCTTGAGTCCTCAAAAACAAGAGATTGGAGTGGCCTTTTCTGTTCTATGGTGCTACTAAGCAGTGTATATTTGCTTTTCACAATGAATTATAGATTTTTTAAAACCTATTGCTTAAGGGAAAAGAACAAAAAGTGATCATATGAAAATTGAAATCACATAGAAATAGTGAGATGCTGAGTTTTCTTGGCAATAACTGAGACCACCAGGCCAGATGTCTCAGAAAATTCTATGATTCCTGGACTAGGACTCCAGATGACTGTTTCTAAGTTGGTTAGTTTTCACAATATAGAATCATCATGATCCCTTATTAAATAGATAATATTAAAAGTATTCAAAAATGCAAAAGTTTGATTTAGAAACTGTAAGCTTCCACCTGATATATTTGGACAAATTTACATGAGTAAAATTATTCTTTGTATGTTTTTCATGTTCCTTGGAACTCTTCTTGCAATTAAAGCAAGCAAAAGTCTCCACATGTAGACAAATTCTCACCAAGATCTTTGTTGTAACAGTGGAACCTCAAATAGCAGCTACTTTCCGAGACCAAGCTTAATGGCCGTTGTTTTAGAGGTGACCGCTTTGGGGAGGTTTTTTCATTTATTCTATTTATCAAAAAAGTCAGTCGATAGAGGGGAAGGAGTTATTGAAGCAATTACTTTGCTTAAATTACAAAGTTGTGATCTACAGTATCATGCACTATCACTGAATGCAAATATATTGTGGGGGTAGATTAGGACTTGAAATAACTGTAATGTATCAAGCAAGAGGACATGAATAGGGTATAAATTAGCTGGAAGTTGATGGCCTGGCCAGAAAATTGAAAACTAATGATTTTTAAAAAACATACATGTTTTCTAAATAGAAATAATTTTTGTTCATTGTTTTCCTTTCTTTTTTTTGCGGTTACCTGCTTGATTGTCAATGAAGCTAAAATTGGCCATTGGGACACTCCCAAGTTGCCGTTTGACCATTGACTGAAGGTTGCCGCTGTGCAGAGGTTTTTATCATAGTTTGGCCATAAGTTCAGCAGGTACTTTCTCCATTGGCTACAGATCTAGAGGTGGCCATTGCACAGAGGTAGTCGTTATTAGAGGTTTCACTGTACCTATATTTCAAGCCTATATCATAACAATGAAGTCTTACTGATTTTGTGAAGTAGAATTGCTCTTTAGATTAATACTTGGGAAAGTAGCTCTGATATTAAGGCTAGTCACAAATACAAAGATGACCCTGAAAACCAGAGGTCAACTATTGTATCTTTGCATGTTATCAATATTATAAATTGCTCAGCAAATGAGAGAGTTCTTATCTTCTGTCTTTAAGCAAAACGTGTAGCCAATACCATGAATTCCTAAGATTTAAAACCATGTAAAAAATTTGATAAGGTCTCTATAAACATAAGGTATTTGATAAGGCATGTGTGCAGACTCTGTTGACAAAATAACAACTACACACAATCAACATGTCTCAAAATTTGTCTTTATTTGATAATTCAATAAAACAATATTCAAATAAATGTATTCAGTTAATAAGCCTGAGCCATCCTTCCTTTTGATAACATCCAACTCAAGTATTTGACATCTTTGTTGTATGATTAAATCAATACTGAAACATTCTTGTTGAATGTGAGGCAGTCCTTCAGGATCGAGGGTCTCCCAGAGGTTTAGGGACAACAAGGTAACATGGCAAGTTAACATGGCAACAATTGGCACAGGATCACGGGAACAACTTAAATTTCTCTCTAGGGACATGGGAACATTATTACTAGTGGAACACGGGAACATTGGTTGTTTTTCTCAAATGGAACACGGGAACAAGTGACCTCCCATCCCCCGGAGGCCCTCAGGATTCTGCAAACTATTTCTAAGAGCTAATTATACCAGTAAAGATACTGCATCCCGTTCGGACAGTCGTTTACACCCTGAGAAAATTTACAAAGATAACAGCGTAAACAATATAAAAGCAATCGCTTGCTGAATCTCACAACTGAACATCATTGGTTGTCTATTTTAGCCTCCCCAGACCCTTGGCACAAGAGACTTTTATAGCAATCGCGTGTATTTAACCCATATCGATGCTAGGTGGGCTTATTAGAGTACTAATTGGCATTTACTGGACATCAATATATTCAGTATTTATTAATTTTGGCACGATATTGTATTAAATAAGTAACTATACTTGTAACTTTAGTTAACCTTGATGTAAGTAAGTGTAGTGCGAAAAATTTCTTTTTAAATGCAAAATAATTTCATTAAAAATTTTGCTGCTATGCATTCCCTCCGACAGGTCTGGACTTGCTATCTTGCCCGCTATTGTCTCAAAACCTTGGGGTGACTGCCTCCAAACAAATCCCAAATACCATCAAGATTTGAATCTATTACTTGTCTCTGCTTATCTGGAAATCATCCAGCCTTTTATTATGTTTCCTATAGAAAGTGTATTGATAAACTGCTGGCTCAGAAGAATAAGAAAGGTGGAGCTTTATGTCCATTGTGTAAATGCAAGATTTCAAAGAGGTTAGTGTTTAACTTAATTGCTAAATTTGCTTGGAATCCCAACAGACATATGCAATTATATTATGAAGGCAAAACGTTATTAAATTATTACATTCCTCTGCCCAGCACAAAGGCATAATTTTGTCATTTCGAAAGCCAATAAATGAAAACTATCCTTTAGTGCTTACTAAGAATACAGGTGACCAGAACAAACAAAATTTTATTATGTCCTGTTAAACGTTAAGGTTACTTTGTATGACCGTCCTGCAGTGGCGTCGTGTGACCATTCTGGCTGGGGGGGGGGGCGGTTGTAAGAGATGCAAAACCATATTTTACCGACAGAAATGTTTTTGTTACATTAATATTTTGTTATAAATTTAATTCTGCCGACGAGTTCTCTTAAAGTTGGGGGGTGTCAACCCCCACACCCCCCGCACGCTACGCCCCTGCCGCCCTATTTTTTACTACTCATGGGTTGTTTACTCTAGTAGAAGGAGTTGATATTCATTTTAAAACCAGTAATTTGTCATGTTTCTATATGCCCGCTTCAAAATCGGCAAAGACAATGTCTGCCATAAGTAGTTGGAACAACGATATTGAAGTTATAATAAATACATAGTTCATTTCCCATTATACTCCTTTTTCAATTAGACCGATCACCCTCCCCCTTAAACAATGTTGGAAAATGAGGATGAACATTTCGCTGAATGTCTGATACATTATTTTGTTCCCACCTTCATTTGTCGCCATTTTCTTGTCGCGACCTAACATGGCATAGGGAGGTGGGGGAGCGTGTTTCAAACATGGCATAACGCTGATGAGAGTGTTTCAAAACTTTCGACAGGTATTGTAAGACATCAAAATGTGCTGTTATTTCCCTTTTTATTGTTTTTTTGTCTATTTATCTGTTGTTTTCTTGTAAAACACCATTTTATCGTTAACATTAATATTTTCTTGATGAGCAGAGGTCTCTTGCAAAACCAGAAATTAGTTGGTGTCGTAGCAGCTGTGAGGAGTGTTTTATCTGCCATTGATGAAGATTTGAGATTAGCAGGTAACTTTAACAGTCAATTATTATTTTAAAATCGGCACTTCCTTTGGTAGATACCAAAGTATACGATGTCTCGATATAGCAAATTCTTTGCACCCTTCATTCAAAAGTATCTCAAAAGAAGTATAAGTCACTCTTAGTTCCTTTTTAAATTTCAAACCAGCAAAGGTATCGAGTTACAAAGCTATGTCCTATTTTTGTCGCGATTCTTTCAATTGTATATAAACAAAAGGCGTTTTATGTTTTACAGTTTTTGAAATTTATTATAGTAGTATATATCTTGTATGATGGTTTCTCTGTTGTGTCCTGTTTAGGCAGCTTGGGAGATGAAAGGGATGAACATAAGAGAAGACCAAAAGAAGTAAGTGAAGAGACTCCACTACAGGTGTGTGACAGTCATCTTTCATCGTCACCAACCCAAGTAAATACCATCGTTACAGGCCTATGAATGAAAGGGCCTTAATTTTCGATTCATTTACACAGTTTTTAAAATAGTCACAAAATAAAGTCAAGATTTAATGGAACCATAAAATATTTTTCTAATTTCCCCAAGTTTTAGAAGAAAGAGCAACAGGATGGCTATACCTTATCCCTCAAATATTTGGTCTTAAGCAAATGTTTTTTTCACTTAGAAAAACGGCTCTTTGGTTGCAAATAAGCTGGATACAGGAGGGTGAGTCTGCATGCTTAATTTTTTCTAGATTTTTAGATTATAGAATATCTTTAAGGAACTTGTAAATTTCTGCTACCAGTGACATTTAAAAGATAGTTGCTGGTGCATTTTGGGAAGACTTTCCATGCAAGATGATGTGGGTACATATTAAGTTGCCTATAGGAAACTATTTAAGTTGACCCTTGTAAATATATTTAAAGGAAATTAGCACAAGATGTCTAAAAACATTTACACTTTGTCTCATTAAACTCCTAAAATGTGGCCAAACGCAGCAGCAATGTTGTGCAATCTCGATTCTCTACAACCTTTTCAAAAGCCATAGTTTCTTCTTATAGCTTATTGAAAAGTGCCTGTAATCTGCAATTAATCTGAAATCTCCTAGACCACATCTTGCACGGCGTCACTTAGGAATCAATCCTGTAATCTTAGCTTGTGTGAAGTTAAATTGAAATCGATGTTTTCACTCACATCCTCACCTTGACGTTACACAGCTCCATTGGATTGACCTTCATTGTATGCTCAAAAATTCTTCCATAAATCTTTCTATTCAAGTGCCTGGTGTTAGGCTGAATATATCATCGATAACATTAGAAAGTAGTCAGTGGTGATGAAGTCAAACTAAGATTGTACTTTGCACATGAAACTGAGAAATCCAGAAAATTTCAGCGGTTGTGATTTAGGCTAGAATTTCTGACTTGATAATGGTCGATTAGATAATTTTTTATCTTAAAACTGTCGATAAAACGACAAAAAGTTAGGAAACTATTATAGCACGTCAACCTTAAGAAACCGATTAGAAAGCCTTCTTTTTAAAATGGGTTGGGTATGTTTCTTTTAGAATGAGGCACTTATTTCCTGTTTAATTGGCATAGTTGAATATATAAAAAAAGCTCCTTGTGACTCTATTTCATACCATCTCATGAAACGTGCTTGTGTTTCTATAAAATAGCTCTTTAGCATGTTGGTGTTTAAGAAACTTTTAGCACTGAAATCAACATAAAAATTAAAAACCTGAGTGCTTATCAATAACTTGGTTTATTTTAAAGAAAATAAATGACCCCAAACAGGCAATGTCTGCTCTCACTCTCGATAAATAAAGTTTTCTTTTATCCCTTTATTTAACTTTTCAATACATACTCAACTATGCGATAGTTAGAATGATGACTATAATGCCTTTGTATACTTTTTCGAGCCTTGGGGCAATTTATTTTAGTTACTTGCAATAGTTATATTCTATTTTTTGAATTGTTTTCATAGTGGCCAATCCTTGCAAAGTGTTTTCACAACTTTGTTTTGATGTTGGCTATGGCCTTGGCTTTATTCCCTTGACGAGGATTGAAAAATGATATATAATCTTGGGGAATATTGCGTGGGCTCCGCCAACATCTCATTGTACAACAGGACTGGCAATCAGAACCTAAGGACATGTTCTTCTTGCAGCTGCAGAGACGAAAGAACTCTATTTCTTGATATTTACTATCTATGAATTTCGGTTTCTAGGTATTCGGATCATTGTCACGAAGGGGACTCAGAGCCTGAGAAAGCAGGCAATTACCGGCAGACAAATACCAGAAAATCCAGAAAGTTGCGTTGGTCTGATGGCAAGAATGAGGAGTCACTCAAAGTTTCTGACGACCACCTTGCTGAAATCCTGCAGACGTCAAATCTTGGTAGAAGACGAAAACAGCCAAGAAGAAGACGTGGAAAGCCATCGATAAAAGATGACAACCAAGGAAGGCCTTCTGCAGATGACGTAAAAAGGTAAGGTGTCCTATCCTATCTAATTTTGTTACTTTTATCTGTTAGCCGCTGTATTTCTAGGATTAAATCCACAATTTTTAAGAGGATGCTCTTAATTTTGCTTTGCTCGCTTCAATCTTATTTCCCTTGAAACGTTGACGGATAGCGAGGTTAACAATCTTTGGTAAAGAGTTCAAGAGAAACGATTATTGAAGATATATTAGATTATGCAGAATATACTCTTACTAAGCTATTGTTCCTATAAAGTAAACACATTGAACTGATTATTTTTCACTTTTCTTAAATTTTTGTGGCTTAATGAAAGTTTACATTGTATACACCAACTTGAAATGTCAGGCAGGCAGAAAAGCGAAAGGCGAAATTTCAAGGAAAAGGAAATTCGGGTTTAGTATTTTATAAAGAAAATAAGAAAATTAGTTGTAATTTGATTCCATAGTTGTAACTGACTTTTTTAAGCGGCTGAGATTTTTTTATGAGCGAAATCAATGCTATGATTTTATGATGTTGCCTTTAAGGATATTTTTCCTTACCCAGTTCTCATTTTAAACCTAAATACATGTTTCTTGCTACATTTTCGTATAGATCATACATTTATCAACTAATCTTTTTCAAATTTTCACTATATATGACTTTGAAATATTATAAGCACGTACAAAGCTTCGCTTCTCAAGCAAACCTATCTCTAAGCCAATCAATCGAGCCAACTAAATCCAAGGTAGCTGATTTCCTTTCTCAAACACGACTCATCAATTTGGTGCACTTTGGGCTGCTCGGACAACCTGTACCACGAGACATCCATGATACATTGATACTCAGTCATTTAGCAAACCGAAATCAATTGCCCCTTTATTGTCCAGCTCCTAGGTTGAACTGCATGTCTTTGCTTGTTTTGATAGTAAATCATCAAGGAAGGAAGTGACAAAAAGTAAAAGTGCTAGATCAAGATTTGCCGTTAAAAGGACAGGAATATATTCCTCACTGTCACAAGATCGTGTTGCATAGATCTCTAGTTTCACATCAAATCACCTATCACTACAGCTTATTTCATGGTTGAAATATTCATCAACTACTTTCAGCCAGGAAACCACCAGCTTTATTTAGTGATTTCTTCCGGGAACTTGGATACAATTTTCATGTTTATCATTATGCTTTTTGATCACAGAAGCTTGTACTTATTTTCTTACGTTGTTGTTTGACTCCATTCATTTGCTTTTTCCTTAATTTCTAGATTGTGTAAACATTTAGTCTTTTTTTGGAAAAAAATCTCCCTAAATAGCACAGTAACTTTTTACTAATGTTTCAGATTTAAGGGATATTAAAAGCACTCTTCACGAACTGAAGACATATTTATTTACTGCCATAGGGATCTGAAGCCAGCTGATAGTGAACAAGGACAGGTTCAGTGCACACCAGGAGTTCCTGATGATAAGACCCCAAAAAGCGTTACTGGATGCATTGCTGGCCTTGCCAACGAGCCTGAAATTAAGGATGGGGCTTACAGTGTCAGCAGTAAAGAAACTGAAACGGCAAACGAGGTGGTCGCTGAGACTCCTTTGCTTCCTGTGCCCAGTGCCGTGGAATGGATGTTGTCCGAAGGTAGAGATAAGATAAACAAGAGACAAGCCACGAAAAAAGTTTCGCCATTTTCTGATGAGCAACTGAAAGCACCGTTGCCGCCAAGGAGCCCTAGTGGCTTTGATTTTGTGGATGACGATTCGCCGAAGGAGTCCGACTTGTGTGAAAGGGTCAAACGGAGAGCAAACAGAAACAAGGTGTCTCTCAAATGTGAAAAGCAGAAGCAAGATTCAGTAATGTTACGACTTGAAAAGGAATTGGAGTTTGATAGGAAGCAACAAAGTGCTATGTCCTCTAGGAACAAAAAGTCCGATAAGATAACGGGTACTCTTGAAAAGAGCAGTGACTTTGTTACAGCACAGAAAAGAGAAAAGAAGTTAGTCCGAAAAGGGAAAACGAAAAAGGTGGAATTTCTCAAGGAAGCCTGGAATAATACCTGTGACCGCCGTGATGGAAGTCAATTAATTGAAAGCGATCATACTGATCCGGTTGCACAAGGGAAATGTCGAGAGGAGAATGAAAACCCAGTGGTATTGGATAAGATGAAAGCAGAGAGACCTGATATACAGCATAGATTATTGGCAACAGAAGATGTTGCTCAGGACGTTGGGTCTGCTATTCAATTATGCTCTCCTGTAATTGATAAAGGAAGTGTTCCAACACCTGTGAGAGAGGAAGCCATCATCAATGCAGCAGTAATCAGGTCGTTGAATATCGCAGATGTACAGGTGACAGAGGCTGGACACGAAAGCCAAATTATCCCTGGCACATTTTCATCTCCAAGCAATTCAGATTACAATGTTATTAATCCAATGGAATCGCCGTTGTATAAGGGCTATAAGAGAAGACCGGTGCGAAAGAAGTTGGCCGAAGCAGAACTGGAAAAATCTGTAAAGAGCTCTGGGTCTGCTTCTGAAGTTATTCTAGAAAATGCCAAAGACATAGCTGAGCCTGACATTAATAAGCAATTCTCCAAGACAGACGGCGCTAGCTATTCAGGACCAGAACCGCTGCAAGATCGCACTTCAGAGGAAGTCTCTTTGGGAATCTCTAAGGACTGCTCTGTTAAGAACGCTGTCATTGTCTTAAATACTGGCAATACCAATTCCATAGATATGTCGAAAGAGTCAACAGTTAATGATGTCAGCAAAAGTCAAGTTGCTGTAGTATTACACGAATCGAGCGATGATAGATCAGACAGAAAACAAGTTCTGAAAAAACTGCAACATTAGAATGTGAATCTATGAAGTTGCAGCATGGAAAGACCAAGTCTGGCTCTGCATCTCTTGATGGGTCATATGACACTTGCATTAAGAAGGATGGTGACGCCTCTGGTTTGGAGGAAAGTTTTGACGATACAACGCCAACGATAAGTGGAAATTCATCTCAGGATTCGACGTATGCTGAAAGAAGCCCAAAAGAAGACGATATTGAAGGGGTGTTGGATTCGGTGGTGGAAAAATTGCAGGCTGAAGAGGAAAACACATTTATTAGGAAAGATTCTTCTGAAATAAAAGAATCATTGACGGCGCCAATTATATGTTGCAAAAATGAAGAAACCATCAATGAAGTTGTAACTGAAGAGCCATTGATGCCACAAGAAAGCGCTACCGAGGCTTCTATTAGCATTCTGAACTATGATAATCATGATGATGATGATGATAATGATGATAGAAGTGCTGATAGGAGAAGTAACTGCGCATCAGTAAATTTTGACAGCAATAGAACTCGAGAAAATTTGTTAGAATCTTCAGGGGAAAATAATAACAATATTGAAGAAGGTTATGCTCCTCCAAAGAAGGTTGAAGCCGCTGTACAAACAATCCCTGACTGTTCCATTGAAACTGTTGCCAGATCATGCCAAACTACAGAATCAATTTGGAACATGAACTTTTGTGATGGTTGCAAAAGAAATAATGGCAAGGTGACGAAAAACATTTTTGAATTAGTGAAAAAGAACATAAAAGATGCAGTAAGGTTTAAACAGTCAAGCATGCTGGTTGACGAAGAAGCCAAAACAGAGTCGAAATCAAAGAAATACTCAGTAAAATTTACCGCATTTGGATCGTTAGAAAAAGCAGATGGTAACAGCATTTCTGCAGCTGATAGTAGCATGGGAATAAAAATTAGGCGACTTGATTTCACGCCTGTGTGGTCACGTGTTTGTGATGAACTGGATGAGGCTGCCTTCAATGAAAGTTTCATTGACTCTCCAGTGAAACGAAAGAATATGCAATCACAGGGAACCAGGAAACGAAAACGTGGAAAGAATGTTGCTTCCAGCAGGAAGCATTTAAGTAGAAGAGTAAATGAAGAAAAGAGTCAGGGTAGTGTCATAGATTCTCAAGAAGCTGATTTCGATGGCGCTCATTCGCAAGAAACTGATGACGAAACTAGAAAACGTTTTGATGGAGATAAAGAAAGCTCTTCAGGGATCGTCAGTCAAGAGACAGAGGTCAGCCGTGACGTCACAGACGTGGTTAACGAAAAGGCTGAACTCTGCGCAGAGAGTTGCAAGGAGCAATCAAACCCTGTTGAAGGAAAAGAAATAGACGATGTTGTACCACCAACGCCTCCATCTGAGCTTCCGTTGAACGATACAGTTTACTCATCTAACAGATCCGTTCTGTCGAAAGTTTTGCAAAAGGGAGGCAAAACCAGACTTATCACAGACGACAAAAGAGATGCAAAGCTTCCTCTAAGTAAGGTAGAAAACATTTCAAATGAAATATCCTTGTCTTCCGTTATTCTAGATGACGTTTCTGAGAATGGCAGTCAGAATATGTTTATGAGTGGTATAAAGGGAAATCAGTCTATATCGAGAAACAGTCAGGTTGTTTTAGAGAGCCAAGAAGACGGGCCAAAGACGCCTAATGTGAAATGTGGTGTGAGTGAAAAGCCAGGAAGAGACTGCTTGGTGCCAGACGAGGACAATTCAGTAGAAAAGAGACAAACAAGACGCGTAACGTTGAAGCGGAAAGCCAAGGGACCAAAAATTGGAACAGATAATGTAACCAAAAAACAAAAACTCGAGTCGATTTGTGAGAATGTTAACACTGACTCACAAAATGGCAATTTATCGGGTAAAAGCATTGCATCTAAAAAAGTTTCTAGTTTCCAAACGGATTCCCTTTATGACATTGATTCACAAATCCTAATCGGTAGTGAAAACCCCAGTGGATTAGGTCAGAATACAGAAAGTAGCGCAGAAGTCAGTAAAAAGTCCCAAGAGACATTAGTTACAACTGGAGAGCATGGAAGCATTGTTGGACAGCACGATGCTCCATTTTTGGTGACAGAAAGCAGAATAGATATTTCATTTAACGACAGCCCGATTGATATTGTAAATTCTCAGAAAACAAACAATTGTGTCAAAGATAATGATTTTCAGAATTCAGCACAAGGTAACGAAGAGCAAAATGATAGGAACCAGGAGGGAGTACTGAATAACAACGAGTTCACCCAGGATATACCCAGCAGTATCTTGGCAACTAGCAATGATCAAAATACCGCCGATGAACTAGCGGACACTTGTCTAGAGGATGTGCCATTGAAAAAGGAAGAATTTCCACTTGAAGAGGATGAATGTATTAATGACGCTGCCATTCTATTTGACAGTAATGAAGAAGTTGACGAAGGAGTTGGCGGAGGAGTTGGCGAAAGAGTTGATGAAGGAGTTGACGAAAGAGTTGACGAAGGAGTTGACGATGAAGTTGAAGATGCTGCGATGGTCAAAGGTAAGGAACTATTTTTTCAGTTGTTTCAGAAATGTGTGTAGAAAATAGAGAGTATCGAATAGCACTGTTCCATGCAAGCAAGTTTGAAGACAGATGAGTTAACATTATCCTTCGTCTAAACATGCAACTGAATAAGATCCCTCGAGCTAGGTTGCTTAATGTTGCTTAACTTAGAACCGTCCTGTTCTTTGCGCCAAGAATGTGTACAGCCAAGTAATTTTCATGTATGCCATATTATGCCCACTGTTAGTGAAGATAATGTGTTTTATACTCTGCAGAATGATAAACGAATCTTTTATTGTGTTGATAGATGTTTCCAGTTTCATGAAATGTTGAAATGTAATTCTTTTTAGCTGTAATCTTATTAAACATCATCAATTTTGAGGAATATAAAATAAAATATGTTAAGAGATCAATTTTTCAACTGCAATTTTTGTGTTTAGCTAAAGAAAATGGGAACAATGAAGAAGCTTACGAGCTTTGTGGAGTAAAGCGCGCTGGCAAACAGTCTACTGCAAGGGCAGAGCAATTCAGTTGCCTAGATGACGATGAAAAGGATTTGTTTGCATCTGATGAAGAAGATCTTATCGAGGAGGAAGATGCTGCCCATGAAGAAGCGGGTACTACAATTGAGGGAAGGACAGCTGAACCGAAGAACGATGACCCGGAGAAGAAAAACACATCTGATTTTAAAAGCTTGGTAAGGAGGTTTTCAAAAAAGGGATACGAAGAAAACGAGGCTGAAGAAAGCTCAGAAGAAGAACCTGAATTTATCAAACCTTCTCCTGAGCGTTATCTCGAAAACAATACTTCCATTAAGATGAAACGCCATTATGCAAGTGAGGCTGGCTCTGAGCTAGTCTTAGTTAAAAACACAGAGGAGATCACAGGTTTGTTTTCATGGTTTTAAGCATTTTTTTGAACAATGCATCTGGTTTCCACATCTTCATTTATATTATTCATATAAAGAAAAAGCCTTTTATTCCCTAAGCTTGGCACAGCGGCAAGCGTATCTTCGTATCTCGTTAGCTGTTACTTCATGGGTACCTGTAGATTTCAATATCACTCAGCGTATTTTCTTATTAAAGTCGCGTCACTTATACTTTTGCGAAGACAAGGCTACACCCTGCCGTTTTTCAAGCAAAAGTAATAATATTTTTTCGAATTTTATAGATAATTGTGAGTATGAAAGTCCCCCGTCGCCAACACCACCCCCTAGGATAAAGAAGAAAAAGACCTCTCCGCAGTTCCAAGAGACGATGGAAATGCTGAAGAAACTTGCGGCCAAAAATGATAGGCCTATGCTCATAGAAAAAGTTGACGATGCTACAGTTCCCCACAAAGTAAAGCCTAAAGCAGCAGGAGATGTTGAATCACTCTCTGTTATGACTGGAGTGAACATCAATACTCGAAAAACTGAGAAAGCAGAAGGCTGCCACGCAAAGAACTTCCGAAAAACCACAGAAAACGCCCTTTTGCCTTTTACAGGTGCCAGCGAGCGGTTCCAGCCAGGGAAAGGGCAAGTGGATAACCACGAATTCATGCGGCAAAATACACCAAATCGCGGTGATGCACATGCTGTCAATAAGATGACTGACAACAAGTTAACTGTTGTCCCACAATTGACAGTCAAGAGAGAAATCGTCACCACACCAAAGTTAAAGTCTGAAAGTCAATTGAGGGATAGAGGCAATCTGAACACTGTTGGTGGTTCATTTGAAAGTCCAGCAAGGACACACAAGACACCAAGCGTGCTTGTTCCGTCAAGACTGAACAGAAGGCAAATGGTGATTATCCTTGCTTTTAACTGACTTCCTTCCCAAATGTAATTCTTGCAACTAGTTTTATTCATGGAAGGGTTGAAAATATTGTTGTTGTTCATAAGTAATTTTAGAAATGCAGGTGACTCCTTTGCGTCATTTAGATGAAGTTATCATAAGAAGCGCGCAAGTGTTAATGAATTTGGCCATTAAAATTTTAAGCACAGCCCCGAGATTGTTTTAAGGATCGACATTTTCAAAGCTTTGATTTTGAAGGCTAAGGCTGCGAATACAGTAAAACCAACACCCATCGCGAATTCAGTCCTTTTTCGTTCATGAGACAGTCTGCTTCTGATTATGATCTTGTTATTCCCAGGTTTGTTGCAAGGCTCTAGCAGATAAAATAGGCTGCAAGTTTTCAACATCTTTCATCGACGGCGTTTCGCATTTAATCATGGGAACTGGTAAGTCATACGCCTCGAAATCAATACTACTTGCAGTTTTGATTTCAGTTTCTTTCCAGATCAAGTCCTTGCCTGCCACAAGATATTTTGTTTAGGTGCTGAATTACAAAGTGAATGATCCTTTACATTCTAATAGCTTAGAATTCTGCCTTCCATACCAAAGAAAATCTACATGACCTGTCATATCTAAACCTTCGAAAGAAATTTGACATATGAAGAAAAGTTATGTAGACATTCTAGTCTCTATCCGTTTTGTTTTCATGGTAATCTTAAAGGCTCATAAAAGTGATTTACAGTGGACGCAAAGAGGTGAACTGACTAGCAGTACATTATTTGGTCATTCAGGCAAAGTTGATTGTGTTTTTAAAAGGTACGGGACATTACAGCCAGATTCAGTTGTAGAATACGCCAAAGAGATTGCCCAATAAATGGAACACCTCCGAACAATAGACAAATAAATTTGTCCCAATACCTTTCTTTTGCATAGGCCTTATAAAAGTAACCTCCAGGCAGCAAACAAGTTGCTACATATGGCAGACGCTTTAATTTCATGTTCATGTTTCATTTTATTCATTCAAGGAACGTTGCTTTTCAGTAAAGCTGATTTTCAAGGGGCGCTACGTTAAAATCTTGCAGGACCATTTTGAGTTATTCAAAGTAAACCTTAATTTCATATTTTCGTTTAAAGGACGAATTCTAAAAATAATCAAGTTGCAAATTTAAAGTTAAACTACTATATACAAGACTCGAAGCCAATAAGCGAGAAGGCTTATTTACTCTCACCTGATAGGCTATGCTGGCACCTCTGTAGGGGACGCATTTCATTTCTTGGGCAGCCTTAAGTCATTAGCAGCATAACAAAAGCTGTGCAAGCTTGGACCTTTTTGTCTTTTTGTCCCCATTTTTGCTTATTACGGATACTTCTGACAAGGGACCCTTCATGATAGCATTGATTGATAAGTTCCCGCTTGATGGGGAAGTCATTTTTGTGTTTAGATGATGTTAATAATCAAATAACTTTTTTCCAGACGAAAACTTTGCCATCGATCGGTTTGCTTACACTTACAAATACTTGATGGCCTTAATAACTGGTTCATGGATCGTGAGTTTTAAATGTGAGTTTATGCTTAGATGTTTATATTCAAATATTCACTCTGCTTGTCAGGATCCTGAAGTAAATTTATGGTGTTCTTTGTTTATTAACGAAGCTTGCCCGTCAGCGTAAACATTATTATCCCGAGCATCCGGACGCTGTGCTATCCTATTTGTTTATTATCGTTTGTTTTAACAAAATTTTCGATATAGTTATCCTTTTTCAGGAAAATAAAGGTATTTCTTATGAATCATATTTCGAAGTAATAACGTTTTCTTAAGGTACTAATGTTTATATCGTTGCTCAAAGCCTTTCTTACACTTTTTCAAAAATGCAACAAACGACAGTTTATGCCTATTACACTCGGTCTGTTACCTAGTATCTTCGAGCTTGAGGGAAGGTGCTCTAGAAGAAATTTTGATTACAAAAAGCGTTTTTCGTTATGGTTGCAAAGTCATCGCTAAAGTTTACAAGTCACATGTCTCTGTTATTCTAAGTTCTGTCTTGCCTAGAACCTCTCGAGTGCTTTAGAGTTTATTAAAGTAATTAAAACTTGCTAATCTTTGGGAATATTGCTACGCTTTTATGGCTGGTGGCAGCTAAAGGAACGGATTGTAACATGGCCACCCATTGAGTATTTGCACTTCTCGTGTATCACGTAAACAATGCTGTAATCCGCCTTGCATTTGATTAGGGATTTGAGCATTTGATGCCATTTTTGTCAATGTACTATTGTGGAATTCAAACAAGGCTTCTTTCAGTGCTTGCTTAAACATTTGCTGATCGATTTCCTCGTCCTTTGGGCTTTTTGTTCCCAAAGATAACCTAACCCTTAATCACTGATATCAAAGTAGAACTCGTGATGATAAAATAATGCACCTTGCAGACTTTGAGTGAATAATATTAAGTAATGTTTTGAAAAAACATATCTCCTTCTGGATCTCGTAACTGAAACATTTGACAGATCGTGTTGAATCAATTGAATCAATAGATTGTTTCGTATTCTTTTTCAGGGGTGACATCCTCTTTGAATGCTCAAAAAGTAGTTGATGAGGTAACTATGTTTAAAAAGAAAAATTGGGCCTTTTTGATGATAATGTAAACAACCATTGCGTGTTGTCGAGACGAATTTCCTGTTTAAAGCGAAATTAAGTTACAGCTGTGCTGCGCTAGGAGACCCTAGAGGCCGAGATGTCACAGATTGATGATAACAGCCAAAATTAAATCTTTAATTGTTTCTAAAAAGTAGCGATGCTTGCATTGTGTTTCAAGTAAATTCAATTTTGACAGGCTTTTTAAAAAGGAAAACAAAATGTTATTATGTTATATAAACTGTTATTTATATAACTTTTCCCAGTTTCTGACCTGATATAGTTCATCAATTGATTGAAGAACAACTTGATTAATAATTGAAAATTCCAGAAACCTTTGACTTAACCATTTTGTTTTAGGCACAATATGAAGTGAAAGGTGACATTTCCTCAAATCATGAAATGGTACCCAAGCTTGCGAGGAATTCAAAGCAAAGGAAGGTCAGTAATATTTGCTGAGCGAACTGCATTTTTAGAGCTCAATTCGTCCAAGGCTGAAATTAAGACGAACCTCTATGTTTATTCTCATAGTGCTATCTTTGGAAATATTATGCGAGCACCTGTGACAAGCATTGCGGGTTCCGAACTTTTTTTGTTCCAAATTTTCATCCAGTTTTAGGCTATGTAGTCATTGCTGTGAAGCGTTTTAGAGCGTCTACTATAGCAACATATCTCTTTGTTGTTATTTACTAGGTATCGTAGTATTCCCAAACTTCAATATATTTTGCTTACAAGGTTTTCACAGAAGTTGTATTTTTAATGTTGACAGGGATGTTTGTTTAATGTCTTACGCTGTTTCGCTCTTCAAGTCTATAATGTCTTTAAGGTTCTGCAATGCTTTATCAAGGCTTCAAAGGAAGGTAGTGTTGATAGCTTTTCCGTGGTGTAGGGCGATAAGGCAGTGGTCTTTAATCTTTTACGAAAATGACCGAATGGTTGTCTAATTGTACAGTTTCAAGTTCATTGTAAGTTGTTTAAGTAATCTAGATTATTCTAGAGTACAAATGACACACAATATGCTGCCATATTCTGCCCTTATACACTTCATCATTATAGTTCACGTTTCAAGTCATGTCCGTTGTTTCTTTGCAGGATTCGCCGCTATTTACTGATCTTACATTGTCACTTGTTGGGGATTTCCAAACATGCAACATGACTAGAGGTAGAAATTCAACTTTTTGTTTTTTTTAATTAACAGAATTTGCTATGCATTTATGTTCCCCATTTTATGCGCGTATGTCTTGATGTTTAGAGTTGTAGCTTGTTAACAGCTACTTGTTTCGTTGCATACGCTTATATTAAGCAGAGTCTGGACGCAAGATCAAAGGAGTAAGTGTCCTAGCTTTTGCATGTCCGTAGTTGGCATCAGCTTAATGTCGTGCAATGAAAAAATATCAGCTGTCGTTTTAAAATTGGATCGCCTTTGTAATCTCCTTGCATAGCACAAGATACAATGTTTTTTTTAATTAAGACGATTTCAACTTAGCTTATCTTCGAATTATTTCAATATCATTCATATTTTGCTAAAATTGATTTGAAGAACATACACAAATGACGCAGTATTTTTTCAAAAAATTTCTCGCTTTATGTCTTTTTGTAGCTCAAATTGTATATATATTGTTTTTACTGATAACGAAGAAGTCATCTTACATAATTGAAATGTTTCTGGTTTTATGTAGTCAGTTGATGTCGCTGGATGTTAACATATTCAAAATTGTTCTTTTTATCTAGAAGGGTTCCGGAAATAAGCCTAACCAAGTTTATACAACCTTTAAGTCTTGCACACCTTGCGTAATACACTTAAAAACGTTCTTAATACAGTTGGTTTATCAAGGAAGCCTATTTTATTAAATATACCCAGTGGGAAACGGAAACACGACCTTTAAGGGGGCGAGACTGAGCGGGGCAAGATGAAGATGAAAATGCGCCCTCTCTCGAGTACAGAGATAGGGAAGGGGCGCAAAAGCTTTTTTTCTTTATTCCCTGATTTTGCTTTGTACAAAAAAGGCTTTGTACGAGTTTCCCGTTATATTTACTGCTGACTTTGATCCCCCTTCTAAACCTATTTGACAAAAATGAAATGCCGATGAAATAAAATAAAACCAAATCAGTTTTGGCATAAGAATTGTTCTTATTGTGTGGAAATAGATTTTGAATCGAATTTCTTCTACAGAGCAACTCGCCCAGCTACTGGAAAAAGGTGGAGCAGTAGTCATGTTTGAATTACCCAAGTCCATACCATCGAAGGTTTGTTATGTCTAAGACGGTGAAGATTGCGCTACCTATTTACGCAATTGATTTCGTATCAATATTGTTTCGATGCGACCTTGCGCTCTTGCTTACAAAGAATTACAAAACCGAGTTTGTGGAGTTCGAAAATTGTCTCGTTCTCATGCACAATGCTTGTGTTTCGATCTGACGTCATCCTGTTTATCCGTTCGTCGTCAAATTCAAAGGCTTGGCTGTGGCAATAATGAATCGAATGGCGCGCGGTCATAGAAGCAAGTTGCTGATCCTAATTGCGATTTACGTTTTCGTCTCGCAAAGAAAACGTAGCCGTTGTAATCAGTGATCAATTTTCGCTCTGACCCGTAATCAGAGGTCGTTACTAAGTATACTTCCAACGACCATATCCTTCCTCATCGCTAAGGTTAGAATAATTCAACAGATAAAGAAATTGTACCGACTGTAGCTGCCGGACATAATAATTTTTACAAAAGAAATATACAAGTCTTGAGATATTTATTAATATTTACAATGTATCCGTTACTGAACGAAATTTGCTATAATATTTTTCGAATCTTTGTCCTATGTTTTTAAATGTACTAAATTTTCAAATAAAGTAGTCTCGTCATATGGAGAAATGTTCAGAAGTTTCTATTTTAACATGCGTTTTCTTTACTATTTTGTTCAGAATGCATATAAGTTCATTCCAACGGAAATTTTCCTTTTCTCTTAGAACTTTCTGCTAATCACGGATTCTGAAGACATTGAAGGCTTTAAAAGTAAGTGAAATTCTAAAACTTTTTAATCTTTGTTTTCACACATTTACTCGATTTACAGTCTGTTCCAAAACGCTTTGGAATACGCTCTTCAAGCTCCTTTGCAACATTATACGGTTTGCACCAATTTTCAGATTATTTTTTTTGATAAAACTCAATGATACATATTAATGGCAATAAAACAAAAAATATGTTATCATAATGACGAACTAAAAAACCAACTAGAGAAGAATCTATGAAAAAATTTGTTGAGTTTTCTAAATCCAATTGTATTCGACGTTTTCTTTGAGCAAAATATTTCCTTTCATCGTAAGATATTTCTTGGGATTTGAGAATTTTTCCTAGTCCAAAAGTCGCACGATTGAATACTTTTTCTAGCTCTGATGTCAATGTTTCTAGCTCGGGTGTCAGTATCTTGCCCAAACTTTTGTTGAATTTAACTTAAGATTCAATATAGAACAGGCTTGTGTATTTTCCATTTGGTCAGAGCATTTAGATTTTTGGAAACTGTTTGCTCGCTTTATTGGCGGCGGGCTTTCGACCTTGTCACAGACGCGTGACTTACATGTTTTCCCGCTTAAGGATTTCGGTTTAGGATCTCAATGTTGGTTTTCATATTGCTAGACCATAAGCTTTGGAAGCTCATCAATATTCGTGAACAGACACTGCTCGATTATTGAGATCATATCAAAATATAGAGCAAATTTGTTTCGAATAAAGAAAATATTTTGAAAGAGACAAATGAAGACATAAATTCAGCTTGATGATCGATTGACACCGACAATTGGAAAAATATGTTAAAAACCTTAGCTGCTTACAGCAACGAGCTTTTATCCTCTGACGTCACCTATTACATTTCAATCAAGCATGGTTTAATAGTGTGATTCTTGTCAGCAGAACGTATCTCACCTATTTAGCGTATTATCGGTCTTTTCCTGCATAATGCATGTAGCCATCTCGCTCAATGTTTTGATTTTCTTTCAAAGGTCAATTTATCGAAGCAAATATTCAGCCAGTTCATTACCAATGGATAACGGAGTCTATTATCAACTATAAGTAAGTATTTTTCCTGGCAATTAACCTTTATAGTCATCCCCTTCTTCGTGTAATGTAACACATATAAGAAAGCATTACGTTCGTTACTGTATTTTTATCAATGGGCGATATGATAATGTAAGAAGATTTTTACTATGTTCTGTATCCAGCAATCAAATTTCTGATCAACATTGTCTTCAGTTGTTGAATTTTCCTAATGGTTTCATTCATTTTTTTAAACAAGGTAGCAGGGCAGTTTTGTGGAGCTGAGTCAAGTCGACTTTTCTCTCTTAATTTATTTTGTTTGTTTAAGATTTTGTTCTTTAATTAGCGAAGATTCGGGTACCTGCTTTGATTAGAAAATAAGCCCACCCGTCTTGAAACTTTGTTTCTGAATCAATTGTCTTTGTGTTTTAGGGTACAAAATCCCGCGGAATTTCTCATAAATTTATGAAGACTATGCATTTCTCAACCTGCAGTTTATTGTAAATATTAGCATACAAATTTTTCATTTTTGTAAATTCATACTGATAAGGTTTTGTTTCGTTGCTTAAGTCTACGCATACTGCTTTTAGTAATGTTTTAACAAATAATAGCGCGGCTAATTTTAATATCAAATCAAATAATGACATCCCTACAAAATATTTGAGGATTTTCTCTGCCGTCTTTCCTTCAATGGCTTAGGTTTAATTCTTAAATGGCTGCGAAATGAATCCCCGAAGCAGGATTCCCCATCAAAGTGAGCCAACCAAATTGCTAGAAATGACAAATGCTTTTTTATCATATCTGAGAATGTTTATAATATATCATGCTACAATTCTCTTATCACAAACGTACGTTTGCTTGGCATCGCCTAGTTACCATGATCCTAAAGGTACTGCGGGAATCTGCGGGTGTTAAAATTCTGTTACGCAATGAATGGATAACTTTTTGTCTACAACTCGTACTTCGCTGTTTGGTTGTTTATTTTCAGAATAGATAAGAAGAATGGAAATAAACAAAACTGAATTCTTTTTCAAAAGTTTACCGACTCTCGCAAGCCATACATATTTTAAGACTTCGTCTATGTTCAGATAAGCACGTTCTAAGTGATATGCAAACAAGGCCGCAGAACTGCTTGCAAAAGATAGCGAAACGTCTGATCTTTTTCGAAACAAAGTTAATTACGATCGCTGCTTCTGCATAATGAATATATCGAAGTAAGCCTTTCGAACAACAAGATTTCAACAATGAACGAAAGAGTAGAAGATGCAAATGTATAAGGGTCCATTAATATACTGTTGAGAAATGTGTTTCCAGTCTTTTGTCTGCAACCTTGAAATTATATTGGCATTGTAGAATTTAGCAGACTCCAATAGATGCTTTCTAGCTTTTTTCTTCCTATCTTTATTTCTGTTTATTTTTTGCAAGAAGCTCCAAGGTGAAACCAATTCTCGATTTTCTCTTTTTGTTACATTAATTGTGGAGTCTATTTAAGGCACACTGAGTTTTAAATGTAACTTTAATACATTTTGTCATAGTAAGGCATGCCATTTAGAAAAATGATTTGAAAACTTGAATATTGGGTTATTGAATACCGCAGATTTGATTCAGCAGTTGGTGGCCAGTGTGAGATTAGTGAATAAAGTGATCGATATCAGGATATTCGCTATTAAGATATCATATCAGAAACTTTGTTTTCATTTCTATATCTCTTGATGCGTTTATGGCTGCAGTCGAACTAATTGCAATTTTCAGGTGCATTTTTAGCCTTTTCAAATTGAAAGAATCTAATCTTTTTCAAAAGCTAGCTTTGCAATGGTGTTCCGCAACCTGAAATTGTTTAGGTTCATTACGTATTGCGATACTACAACAGTAGTCTCCTAAAACATTCAGGAACTGATCATTTTTCCAAAAAACCTCTGGAATTTTGTCCAGAAACTGAACAGCTTGATCTGATTTACTACAATCCTCCCTCGACCACAAGGATCGCATTACTTGAAACGGAGGTCGATTTAAATAACATAATCAGTGGTTTGTTTGTAACATCGAAAACTAGTGTAGTCAGAATTTGGTTCATTTTTTCAGAAATCCAAGGTTTGTCGGAGCCTCCAACACAGGTCGAAAGGGGGCAAGGGCAAATTCTGGACATGCTCTGTAACAAAAGACAAAAATGCGAGAGGGAGGGGCTTCACCACCACACTTTTTCTCCTCTAACATCGGATATCTTGATTGTTGCTCATTAATGTAGTTGTCTAGACGGGTTGTTTCAAGCCGTTTGGGTGCTATTAAACTCCTTGCCAGAACAGGCTGGTTAATGTTGAATCTTCTTGTTGATGTTAACACAACCTTCGGAGCAGTTCCTTTTGACATTATTCAACAGAAACTCTTCTCTTTTTATGATTTATATCGCTGGGTATCCTCGTGTCCTTGTGTTTTTCGATTTTAGCCAGACCTGGTAACGAAATTCTCCGTGTCTCGCTGTTGTCTTTTCGTAAATTCAAGTGGGGTTTCTTTGAAAACTGACTCATGGAGTTCATACGCTGACACGAGGCTACAAATTCTGTCTGACCGTCCCTCATCATCCTCTCCGAAATAAGCTCCATTGTCGAGTTTGAGGGAGCAATATCGACTGGCAAGGCACCGTTGTTGTTACGGACAAAGGCACCTGCACAACAATCGAATAAAAACTGTACCATTTCGACATCATCATTCATAGAGGCGTAATGCAGACAGGTGTTACCTTCATTGTCAGGCTTATTAACCATTGCTCCATTTTCGACAAGTATCCTAGCCATTTGTAGATGGCCTTTTTTGCACGCCCGGTGAAGCATTGTCAGTCCAGTATTCGAAGTTAAGTTGATATTCTTTGCTGGCACGTGTTTTATCATGAACCTCACTTGGCCTATGTCGTTCATTTCTACAGCTTCGCACAACATCTGTTGGATTTTAGACACACCCGAGCCTGTTTCATCCATCTTTGCGTTCTATTCACGAGCAAAGAAAGACAGATATAGTCTCACGACCATGTTTGTTATCCCATTGATTTGTAACTTGGGTTTTCATTTTTGCGAACTACCCAACATCCAGACACCAGACAGTTGTGTCATATTTGAAGTGTTTGCCAATGCCATATGAGCGCATTTACCACCTGTAAGGTTTTACATTTCAATCCTACTATAAACTTATTGTTTTTGTGCTAAAAAGTTTCCTATCTGTATTGTCTTGTCAGGTCACATTCCTTTGATTGGTAGGATTCACTGACCACTGCGAACCCACAAGCCTTAAACTTTGATGCCTCAAGCAACCTCAGGCTGTTTTATCAAAATCACAGACGCATAGAATTATTAGATAGCTTGAAATTATTAAATGCTGCTGGGGTTTTGCTTGAGAATCCTGGTCTACTCGTGCTGTTTTTTTAATCATTGTATGATTTTTTGAAAGTTTCCTAAAGCGCTCAAAACACCAGCCAAATGTGGCAAGTGTGTTCAATTCAGGCACATATATAAATAAAAACTTGCGCTGTTGCGACATTCTAGAAAAATAAGAGCGTAAGGCGACCAGCTCTAACACATGCAACCTACCAATTACTTTAGAGACGTTCTTTGAATGAAAGTACAATTTGTCAAATAAAGCTCAAGGCGAACGTTGCCAGTCTCTATAAAGCGTTGCGGAAAGTTTTATTCGATATTTATGACCTTGATTGTATTTCTTTTCTGTCAAAAAACCTTTTTTTAATCTCTGCTAGCTTTTTAGGTGTGCATCCGAAATTTTTTCTATACTTGTTTTGCCACTGACTTTTTCATGTTCTTTTTCTTAGTCAATCGAAATTACCAATTGTTGGTCCTTCTAGATTTCTTAACCTTAAGTAGTATAGTATCATCATTCCTTCAACATGATAATCTAGGTCTCAAAAGCGACGTGTTGTAATTAACACGCTCAACAATTGATTTGTTAAGTGTTTATCTTCAGAATACACCTACGATAATTATCAGGGCCGGAATAAGTTTGAGTTACGAACTGATCTGCAGTCGTAGCTTATATTTCCGTTTTTATTAAAGGTTTATAAACTATGGTAGGGATATGTTTGAAAAGGGCGAAGGGAGTGTGTCATCAGAATTCTCCCTTTGGCACCTACCTCTGTAAGGGCCTCGTTATCAAACTGGCCTAAGCTTTCTGTGTGAAGAAAGATCTTTGCACTCGAGTAGCCGCAAGAGGGATAAAAATGTTGAGTTCTGCGCGAAGAGTAGCCACACTGGCGCTAAGAAGCCATCAACCCTGCTCTCAGGTAGCTTTGAAACACACTTTACCAGACTTGCCATATGATTACAATGCATTGGAACCCACAATTTCCGCCGAAATTATGCAACTTCACCATAGTAAACACCATGCAACTTATGTGAACAACTTGAATGTAACCGAGGAAAAGATCGAGGAGGCGAAGTCTAAAGGTAATAGCCTTTCATAAAGTCGTTTTTGTGGTAATTTAGCAAATCTCTTATACTTTTAAGCGAGACTTGTCTTGTTAAATCTTCAGATTAGTCACGTTTTGATATTGATTCTTTTCAAGGTGTTTCTATAAACGGGAGAATCTCAATGTTTTCTGCTATCTTTTGGATGACCAGTCTACAGAGCATGGCAGTTCTTGACAAGATCTGTTTGTGTCAAATGTGATTATAATTTAGCATGGCTAGCAACAGTGGTGTGGGGTCAAAATTTGGGGATCTCAGTCAGTAAATTTTAACACAATTTGGTCAACCAATTAGCCTTATGGAGTGAATTGTTGTCCCTTTCATCATAGATTCTTGTTAAATGCAAAATTTTTTGTAAAAGCAAGACCACACAAGGAATATGTTATTCAAATTTAAGGCTAAAAATCTTGCGCACATACCCCCAGTTTCAAGCAAGTTTAAATATATAAGATCACAGTCTCAAATTTCTTTACTGGCCTCTCATGAAAATCTAGCTTTTTGCAGACAATGACCCCAGTATGGATTCCATGGCAGCTGCACTCCAGAGAAATTTTTTAAAATAACGGGTACACTCTTGCACATCCAAAAGATGGGGCATGGTTTGGGTGTGCTTTCGGTTGTGGCTCAAATTAAAAAGTTTTTTTCAAATATGGCAAACTGACTTTCTAAATTTGTTTACAACTGAGATTTCCTTTCTTTATGATAAGGTTCCCTAGAAATCGAGGTCCTTAGGCAGTTTGCCCCCTTGTCCCCCACTTGGGGGCCTTGCTTGAGATCACTCTTTAGGCCTTAGGCCTTAGGCCTTAGATCTTGTTTTTGACCTTTTTAAACATTATTTTTTTAAATCATCTCTTTACTTGCCAAATCTTTAGGAATTTGAATAACATCCACTGATGGTAGTGGTTTGTAAGCATACTTCAACTCTCAACATGAAATTCCCTGAGATGTAAAATGTTGTACAAGTTATGCACATGCTCAAGAATCACTGAGAAATCTGATGCACTCAAATGTGCACACTTATCACAAATGCACTCTTGCACTCCTGGGTAATATCTTGTGCACCCCCGAGATCTTGTCGAAAACTGCCATGAAATCCAGACCAGCAATGACCAAGAAAGTATATAGGCAGATCCAGAATATTACAAGTGAAGCTTGAGCAGTAGATGTAGTGCTATCAAAATAACAAGGGGGGCTCTTGCACATAAGGTTGCTAAAATCAATAGCAAAAGTGGAAATTGGTTATATTTTGGCTTTAATAATAAAGGGGGTTCAGCCCCTTGGGCCCCTTAGCACTACATTTCTGTGCTTGAGCCTATGTCGGATTATGTAGATTCCTAGAAAGTCTTATTTTCTTTGATTCAGATCATTCTATGCTCTTGTTACTAATGGGAAACTCATCTCTCGACCAGCCCTTGCTTAGAAAACTGAAGTATGACTCAGACTGGAGTTTCCAGAGGACTGGAATGAGCAACAATGGTCTTAGCATGAGCATAGGTCATGATTTAATTATATCAAATCAAAATATTGAGATATGATATGATTCCAGGGCCATTCTATGGTAATCTATAGAATGTGGTGTCCTTAAGAGTTGTCGGCATGCATGCATTTGAAAATAGGTGGCTTGCATGCTTTGTAAATTCCACATGGAAGGTCTTTTTTTATTCTTCTTCATTCCAGAGATTCTAAAATTGGGATGGGGATATCATCAGAAAGAATGATTTACTCACACAGTACACACATAAAACATGGCTTCTAACTTGGTTTTCCCTTTCCCATTGTGTTAACATGAGACCAGATTGGCCCTATAATTGTCAACATAATATTGACAGCAACTGTTTCAACTTATAACAATCAGATGGTTCTGATGCTGGCAAACTCTCATTAAGTTGAAATGCTTTTAATGAATGCTAAAATTCCAATCCATAAGCATTTCTTTATTTCAGAGAATATGTTGTATAAAGAAAGGTATGAAACCAAGGTTTGCCAATGTTCCCAAAAGAATGCGTGTGCAGCTCTACGTTTTGTGTGTGTATTAGACAAGCCTCTGAAAAAATCTTGTGTGTGTACATGCCACACTGTACAGACTGGTTTAATGGGAAATAGCATATAAATTATTGTTTTTAAATGCGATGCTTCTCTAACCCAAGCAGTGTATTTAGAAGTAGTAAAAAGAGAAAATATATTTTTGATATTTTCATTTCTAACTGGAAGCCCTTGGTAAATACTTATTAAAATGAAAAATGTTTTTTTCAATTAAACTCAAAGTAGTAAAATGTTAATGTCTAGACAAGAAATTTGGGATCTAATATTCTTAAGGCACATTTTATGATACTGCAGATTGATATGCTAATGCCAAAGTGATAAACCATGATAACCCTTAACAAACTCCAAAACTCCAGATGATTTTTATTAGGCAGTTTTCTATAAACAGATAAAATGACATAGTTGCTGTCCAGTTAGGGCTTAGAATATGGCAACATTTGCAGTAATTTCATTGCAATTAAGAAAGGGTTATTAGTGGCTAATATGGTATATTCTGGTACCTGATAAGGCTGCTGCTTTGTTCTGTGTATGAAGTTTGATCTGGAAATATCTCAGACAGATTCTGTCTATGTCTGTATTACAAGTGACAACTCCAGATTGTTACTGCACTGTCTTTCTTACTTAACTGACTACAAACCTGGCATTCATGGTAAAATTGATAAGAAAATTAACTAAATCTTTTAACAACAACAAATTTATTTTGTTATCACAGCATTATGTCATAAACTAGTAAATTGATTGTTTAACAGAAACTCTTTGAAGTTGGTATTTTCCTTATCTATGTCTGCATACTATCATATGACTCTTCACTGGGACTATACTCAGTAACTCTTGTGTTTATCTCAGTGTTTATGTGTTTATCCTAGGTAACATTTTATGTACATTCTTACACCTTTTTATAATAATAGTCATGTTTAATCAAATATATTTGTTTAGAAAATTAACAAGTATGTGCTAAATGAAATTAAATTGAATTACTACCTTGGTTTCATTTTAAAACTTAATTCTTTTGATAGGAGATGTTTCTGCAGCAATATCTCTGCAACCTGCGCTGAAATTCAATGGAGGTGGTCACATAAATCATTCAATATTTTGGACAAATCTGAGCCCTAATGGTGGCGGAGAACCAGCAGGTTTGCTTTTAAAGCTATAAGTTTCAGAAGCATTTGAGATATGTCATCAGCAATTGTAACAAAACCTCTTTTAATCCTTTTTTCAATTTATTGTGCATGTTGCATCTCTGAATTGCCTTAATTCCTCTTGCTTTATCACATTGTTGCCTGGTTACATTATAGGAGAATTGATGGAGACAATTGTAAGGGACTTTGGGTCTTTTGAAAATATGAAAGCTAGACTGTCAAACGCAACTGTTGCAGTTCAGGGCTCTGGATGGGGCTGGTTGGTAAGTGACCAGATGCTCAATATGTTATTGAGTTTTATATCTAAAAATATTTTTATTAGGTAAGATGCTTCACTTTTGATGGGTGAAAGAGTTATCTCCATCACACCTGGCCATTAGAATTTTTGCAGATGGATGGTAGAAACCCCTCCCTGTATATGTCAGATGGACAAGATGGACAGAAAATATTTTGCGATTTTAAATTTTTATTATTATCAGCTCCAGAATTGATCCTCTTTTAATGAAGGTACTTGCCATGTTTTGCTGTCAAGGTCATGATGTACATGAAATTTGAACTTTAAGCTCCGATATTTTTCAGTTTTTGTAACACCTGCCATTGTCAAGATGTGGAAAAGACAAATTTTTGACTTTGCACTACATGCATTTTTAATGAGAATGTTCTGTTCAGTCTCTAAGAAACTGACTCCTCAAGATGTCAAAAAATAAAAATTCATTATACTGCCCTAACCCCCTGAAACTGATTGATAATAATGTTATATTATGTTGTGATGGTGTGATGTTATGTTATTTAATATGACATTGTTTTCTGCTGTTTCTAAAATCTTTTTTTCTGCTTGTGTGGAAAGAGCTTAGATTTCCCTGTATTTCGCTCAATATAGACAAATAATTTAATGCCAAAATGCATACAACAAGTTTTATGTTATATAATTTGCTGGAGCAAGCTTATTATTGGTTTCAGGGATATGATGCAGTAAACAAGAGATTATCAGTTGCAACCTGCCAAAACCAAGACCCACTCCAAGCAAGCACAGGTATTTTGGAATTATTTTCCTTAAATACACCAATCCAACTTATGGCCTCATTTTTAATAATTTTTTAAACTCTTTTGTACAAAATTTTGTGCTCAGATTTGGATTTCAGCACAAGAATGTAAGTCTACTTTGAAATTTTCATAATGTTATTGCTCATGATATTGATTTTATGATGACATAACGATAAAAAATTTATAAGATTTGACCATGATTAGTAACTGGGTAGGGGGAGGGGTAACCTTTTATCTGGAATGATTTTTGCAGTCAAGTCCCTTACAAGTTTTTAAACTTCATTTCTCTGTAAAATCTAAAATACAAGCACAAACAGTATTGAAAAAATGTGTCTGGCCTAAAATTATGGTGATAACACAAAATCTGAGCTTTAAAAAGTCGTAAAGTGAAGTTTTGAGAAATTTCCAAACTAGGCTATAAGTTGAAGGTGTATTAGGTTTTATAGCCCTGGCCATGCATATCTTATTCCTTAATTAATTATATTTATAAAGATGAAATAAATTGACGAAATTATATGTAGATATAGGAATTTATAGAAGAATCAATTTGTTTAAATTTATTATTGCGATTTTCTTCATTTTGTGTTTTGTGGCCTGCACAAAACAACTCTTTTTACAATACCTATCTTTGTTAATTAATTTATTTCTTTGCAACTTAAAGGGTAACTACCAAGTTAATTGTTGGAAATGCTGTGCTTAAACTCTCATAAGCTGAAGGGGTTTATACAATGTAGCCCTACTAACTTGTCATAAACTGGTAGAGGCTAACAGATTTGATTATGAGAAAGAGAGAATGCTGTGAAAAAACTTTAAGCCAGTTTTGATGTTTGTGACTGAAAACATTTCCAAATCAAACAAAGAAAAAGAAAGATTTTGATAAGAATTTTTTGGCAAAAATTAAAAACAAAATTGGAAATTATGAGAATTAGTGATTATGGTTATCATTACAAAAAGAAGTTATAATCAGAAGCATAGTTTCCATGAAAGCATAATGGGCTCACTCCTAGACAGGCAGTAACTTTGGTGTAGCATTTTTGTTGTAAATTTTGTTGCTCTTGTGGCATAGTGGATAACAATGTTCCCACGGGTATATACTGGCCAGAAGTCTTTGCCACTCACTCAAAACAACATAAAATGTAATTATGAATTAAGGTTAAAGGCCAGGAAGCCCTGGGTCCTTCAAAGAAGAAAATGCTTTGTTAAAATTAGAAAATCTAAAATTTTCCATAAGATTTTGTGCAGCTATTCTATTGTCTGTCAGATTTAAAATTCACACAAATTTATAGAAAAATTAGAGCATTATAAAAAGATGACATCTTCAATATTCTTGGTAATTAATAGCTTGTGTACAATTTACAGCTTAGTTCTGAGAGAAAACATTGCTATATGCGCTATTTATGATAATTATGAAGCAAGAAGCATTTCCTGATGAAAACGAGTGTTTGAATGGTTTCTCGATAGTTGGCTAAATCTTTGCAATAAGCAGATAATTGATTTCACAACAACTCTATGTTTAATGAGCTTCTAACAGCTGCTTTCTGTTGTCCTCAGGGCTTGTTCCTCTCCTTGGTATTGATGTATGGGAACATGCTTACTACCTGCAATACAAGAATGTGAGGCCAGACTATGTGAAGGCAATTTACGATATTGTGGACTGGGGAAATGTTGCAGAGAGATTTGCAAATGCCAAAAAATGAGGTTTAAAAACAATGAATTTTGTCAATTGTCTGTATGTGTATGTTTCCAAACTTTATGTAATAAAATACTGAACACATTGCTGTCAAAATGAGCATTACGTTCTTTCCTGAAACAGCTGAGCTACTAATAAGAATGGAAGAATTAACTCTATTCCTTGTCAAATTGCTTTTCTCTACTACATTTTCTTGAAGCATTAGCTACCTTTTAAAATTTTAACTCTTTCTGTATTTTCTGTTACCTTAGAATGCAATGCACTACTTGTCATTCTTAAGCAATAAACATTATATGTTTTCTGCCAAAGGGGAAAGCTCTCCAAAAAAATGCATGTTCACATGAAAATTCATGCAAGAAAATGCTTGTTTGTTCACATGTCAGGAAAGTTTTCGGCTTTAGGTGTACATCAATGTAAAATTGAAGTCTACATCTATAATTCATACATATAAAATTCCGCAGGTTGATCCACAAGAAGTTCATTATAGATTTTGTATTGCAGAAATTATTTTATAAAAAAGAATCGATAATCTTAACCTTATATTTAAGTCAAGATCTTTATATCATTTTTCATTTCCGTATTTTATTATCGTTTTCTTTATTTTCTTGTCTGATACAATCTTATCTAATTTTCTCTTATCCCAACAAATCTTATCTTTTCAAACGTACAAAAAAAATGATGACGTGATACGTTTTAACCGCCTTATGGTGTGTATCACGTGATACCAGCTGTAAAAAAATTATTGGAGCTGAATTTTTAAACAAAAGGGAATTTCAGTCTTTTTTCCATGTACAAATTATCTCCTTGAAAGCGTAACATTCAGTTCTATATACTATACATTCCTCGGATCAAAATGTTATATAACATGTTTAGCTGAATCGCCACCATATTGCAGACAGCTCAATCACAAGGATGATCCCCAATTAGTCTTAATCGAACCTGAATTGCCGCGGCAGCCAATCTAAGTTCATGTTACCTGTAAGATGATTGTGATTTGCCAGGTATTTGACTTGCTTTTTTCCACTTGTTTATTGCGCGTCCAAGCGTGAGCAACCAGTAATCTAATCCGTTGATTACACTGGTGAACAACACCGACAATCCCTACCACTTACTATCTTCTCATTTCTATGAGATATATCCAAATGTTTCTGGTTTCTGATCTGACATACAAGACGGTATGCTAATGGGTAACAGCAAATGGAGATAAGACATCTAATGAAAAATTTACATTCAGAAGTGATGCCTTTCCTTTAAATCTGCATAGTATCCTGCTCCGATTTACCATAGTTTATATTTAGAGTGAAGAAGCATTGGTGAATTGTTGTCAGTTTTTTTTGCATAACGGGTTAAGTATATGAATCCAAAAGGGCTTACCTTTCTGAACGTGCAGCAACAAGCCTCTTCTTATGTATTGCACCTTGAAATGCAAACTGATCCATTTAACCTCTTTTATAATATGCCCATTGCTATTTGATTTCCATTTTTGCACTGGCTTTCGTTCACTGCTAACCAACGCTAACAAAGATCACTGCTTGTGCCATGTCAGAAATACCCTAGAACATGTAATAAGATGACAATTCGTCAGGTGTTGCTGTTTAAGAAAAGCATTTTCTTGTCCACTGTCCGCTTATTCAAAGTTTCATAGACGAGCCAGGGAAGCCGAAACTTTTTGCGTCCCTAATTAGTATTGCCTTCACATTTGCCTAGTAATTACCTGTTGCGTGCACGTGTTTATCATGTTTGTGATCGCAAGATGCTCATAACTGTTACGATCATTAAACTGAACAGAGATAATCTATGGTAGCTGCATTTTACGTCGTTATTTGACTTCCTTCTGGTAGGGGAATTTTGTCGGTAAAGCTGTTTATTTCTTCGCCTAATCTGTGTGACTGTAGTTATTGGCGAATACACGTTACCGCTGATCGTTGTTTAGAAAGCCTGCGAATATTTTGCATTATTATCGCTGGTACTGACAGTCTTGTGTAAATATGCAAACAAATGAAATTGACGACTAGACGTATTTGGGCAAAATTAAATATCGTTAAGAGAACTGTCTGTATTGGTACCAATACTACACTGCAAGAGTCTTCGCCATTCCTCTCGCAACGTCTAGCTTATCAAAAAGGGATCTCGTGATAGGTATTTTACAATCACGTGCATTGCTCTATTGTTTGCATCATCACAAATTTGCCTTGGCAGCCGGTATACAAAGAAGGTAAGAAAGTTCAGTTTTGTGTTTATGTTTGTTTCGTTAAGCTCTAAGCCTCGTGAAAGCTTTCCTTCGCCTCACCAGAAATTGTCACCATCGTAAAGACGTTGCCCAAATGTTCCAATTCAAACAAGGATTTGATCTAGTTACTGCTCAGTTTCGTTTCAACAATCATTTTGTGACCTATTTCAGTCCTGTATTGAATTTCATCGTAATATTAGTGATAACCTTTTGATATTATGAACTTTTCTTGGAAAGTAAGATCATACCCTTGTTTTGGTTTATATTTTCCTGGGGTTTTTTCAATTTGGAACAGTCGTTTGTGTAAAATTAATACGTACATTAATGTTTCTTACTCTATACTGTCTCTATACTTTTCGTTACAGAAAGTCTTGATAAATCTGTTATAGGAACCAAGTGAGGGGTGCACAGAGAAGGGCACCTATTAAAGGAAACCTCATTGAAGTCACCTATTGTAGGGAACCTATTGAATAGACACTTATGGGAGGGCACTTATTGAAGGGCAACTACTTGATATTTTTCCATCTTTTGAAAAGTAAATTTAAAGGTGGTCTGAAAATTTCCCCTATCTATTTTCAGCATCTTAAAAACTGAAAGAGACTGACTCGACTCGCCTATCAACGGTTATAACCCAAGTCGTAACTACTATGGTATTTATTTAGGGCTCGTGTCCCTCCTAGAATTTCAAAATTCTTTGTTTTTGACAAGCTCAAAACCTTTTATTGAAGCAGTTATTATTTTTTCCTTCCTGTTTGATTTAAATGCAATTTTTCATTGCTTTTTATGTATAGTTTCCCGCAAATAATTTCCCAAAATCGCTAAAGTTGTGTAAATAGTTGAATCTGCATTTCAATTAATCTAAGTTCATATGCAAATTCAATTAAATCAGATTGGCTGAGATATGGCCACATTAGCACATGCGCTTCCCCCACCTAATCACAGTAATCTGGTCTTTGTTCATAACTTTATAAACAGAGCCAAAGTATCAGTGATCCGTTAGTAAACTTCAAATCTTCTATTGGCCATAGCTCACCCGAATTTTGAAATATTTAACTGATTTTGATATCAAAGAGTATTTCAATGGAAGGTTATGGAGTCAAAATTCAAAAATTCTAAAAGCATTTTTTGATGTTTCACTTAAGAACTCTATTGGGTGTCGTTGCTGAATACTGCGAGAAAATATTACATTTTCGATAAAAGAAACATGAATTTGTGCAGTTTGGTGCTTTATCTAAATAATCAGATATTATCAAACCTTTTTGAGAACATTGAAGGGGATGAAAAATAATTTGACAAGTCACCCATTCCTTCAATATTACATTGAAATAGCAAGCTGTTTTCGACGGAATGTCATATTAAAGAAAGGTGCCGTATTTCCATCTATACGAGGACCTGTTGGATACCAATGATGTTGCTATAAATATTTTTTATTAGAAATGTAACACAAAAAGTGCCTACCAGTCCTTTGACTGGCTACTGCATGTCTTTGCTGAAGAGAACCATTTATTAAAGTTTTAACTGATGTCGGCGAAGCAATTACCATGAAACAACCGATTAGTTGATTGATATTCGTCAATATGCAAAGGCTCTCTGATATACTTCCGAATTATCAAGTAGTAATTAGGTTCAGGTGTTGAGAATAATACCACATGCTTCACACACACAACTAACTCCCATGCAATATTGGTGATATAGGTTGTATTTAAATCCATTACAATTTCGGCCAAAAATGTACAAGCATCAAATCCTTTTATTGCTAACTCTGTGCTTCTTGATTAAGGAATGCTTTACCATTATACTTTGACATATCCACAATAACGTAGTTCAATGCTGTGACGTCCTGAAAACATTTCACCAATGACCTTCGAAGTCTTTTGTCCTTGACGCAATATAAATAGCAACCAATTTTGTCTGGAAAAATCGTCATTTTGCTGCAACCAATGACGAATTTTTTTAACATAGTTTTTTCAATCTGTTTGTGGTATCTAATGTTTTTCTTTAGTATTTCCGCCACTTTTCCTAGCAGGTTTCTTCTTTGAACCGACTAAATTTCCAAGCATATTTTTAGTTGGAGTGAGTCCATGTCTGTAGAAATGTCTAGTTAAACAGGAATGGAGACAGAATGTCACCTTGTCGTACCTCAACTTGTACTTCTGTTTCATTTGCATTATATCTTTTGACTCTTTACTGGAATTCAATGGGAGCTTATGAAACTGATTCTTAACACTTTTGCTATTTTCAGACAGTTGATGACAATTGATTACTGTTTGCTATTTGTAGACAAAAAGAAAGAATATGGCTTCATCATTGTGCTCATTCCATTGTATCTATTGCAATGTGTCAACAATTGCTTGTTTTTCCTTATGACATTTCAATTGGATTTCATGAGCGAGCAAAATATTCTACATACAATCCTTATCAAAAGTCTTGTTACACTAAGCTAAAATTTTGCATAACTTCAGTAGCATCCCCCTCGACCCCTTGAAACAATGTTGAATAACAACAGTTTCAAAGCTTGAAATTCAACGAGTGTAACTCTTTCAGCTAGAGTAAGTGAGAGGCTTTTCAACCAACATTGCTTTGGGGGAGGGGGATATTTCTGTATCTAACGGCCGGAACCTTTTTTTTTCATCAAAATCTTTCATTGACCGCTGTGTGTTCCAAGGAATTTTGGCAAGGATTGTAGTTATAAACAAGAACTGTTTATTCTGTTTCCACATTGTCGTTTTTAGCTGCCAATTCAGCTTTGTCTTCAAGCAATTTTTTAGTAACTCATTCCTAGAAAATCTAGTATTTGCATGGAATGTGTAAATGAGCTGGTGTTCCCCATAACTCTTGTAATCATTGAATTACAGAATGAATCACGAATTCTTCCGGTGTCGTCAAATTGTTGTCACGAACAGATCTTTATTGATTTCTACTTGTTTCTCTCAGCACGGATGCGGTTTCATTTTTTCTTTGAAAGATAATTCTTCTAGTAATCATTTGAAATGTTTATAAGCACCTGTTACTTGCAGTCAATACCGGTCTCACAAATTAGACAAAAGCTGGTCTCTCAATTAGCAGTCTGATCGCCGTTGACAACATTCCTAAACTGGTATCAGTGTTAATAGAAGTTAGCGGTAAATAAGATTGATTTCAAGAAGGTATTCCCAGTTTGCAAGCAAGTTCCAAACTAAATCTCCTCCATCTCGTATACCGACATATGATAAATGCAAGATAGTCCATCAAGTCACTTGCTGATTTTTTATATTACCCCAACCCACTACCATCCCCCTAAGCGCTTCTCCAAGACAAATCTCTATGCTAACAAATTGCTTAAAATACCGACCAATAAGAAAACACCCCCATGTTACTACATGTATCTTAATGATATATTTCTACATGTATCATATTATTATCTCCATTCACTAAGCAGGTTGAATTTTTTATACAGGGATAGATAAGCCTGTGGGGCCCCGTGGGCACATGCCCCCACTCTTTACAACACATACAAAGGTACCCATGGAGTCAAAATGTTCCTTTCTTGAAAATGCGAGCTAAAATTGTTGTGCCTCACTACTGTTCATATGCTTTCTACTCCCTTGCAAAAATGCCTGCTAATTTCTTTCTTTGTGGATGATGGTGTTCAGGTAAAAACGTACTAATTGTGCTTTTATCGCGTAAATCAGAGTTTTTTGGAAGACGTGATAAGGAAGGCGTTCCTTCAAGATCAGAGCAGTTCAGCCGGATGCTGAACACATTTACCCGTCGCTTATTCAAACACCCTGGAAGAATTGTGATTGCGTGTAAGAAAGGTCCGGCGCATTCAAGATGCCTGCCGATGCCTGCCGATGCCTGATGCCAATTAAATTGGCTACGCTTGTAATAGGGGTTTTTGCATCAATTTCTGTACCATTTCGTTGTCATAAGTGCATGCAATATATGTTGATGTCTGCAGCTTCCATGAGTTTATTTTGAATGTCACAAAAACTTGCTATGATAAGGTCTATTGTGGTCATATTGTTAGGTGCAGACTAGATATTGAATGTTAAATAGGTATGGGGAAAGGTGCATTAATTTGATTGAAGTATTTGGTCATAAATTTCCTTGAGCTGTTTAAATAACACTACTTTTTGGATAAATCTTGGTTTGTAGCTCCCGATCTTTTGTTTTCTGGGCAATTAACATTAAAGTTGTATGCAAGGTATTATATAACAGAATTTTTCTCAGACCTTCTCCTGACCCTTTCAGTTTTGCTGACAGGACCCCTTTCAAAGGTTTTAACTCATGAAAATGTATAGAAAAGTGGCGAAATCAGCAAACAAACCTTTTTGTCTTCTTAGATTATGTGCAAAAAAACCATTGATGAATACGGATGAGATGTCGATTGTAATGGAGGAAACACTTAACCTGTTGTTTCTTGGCCCTCGAAAGTTAGGATATACCTCTCCCATCCCCTACCTATAGCAGCATAAGTCCCTCAACCGCCTCTCTCAGACACACAACCCCTCTGTTCACCGCCCTCCTCACATCATAGTTGATATAGTGTGCTCACACAGACACCATATCGCATGCTTATATGAGCTGAATGTCTTTATTGACGATTCAGAGGTGAATAACTTTTTCCGAGGGGCATTTCACTTCCAAAGATCCCGTACACCTCCTCTGAAAATCCAAAAAAATCCTTAAATCCACAAAAAATCCTTTAGAAATCCAAAAATCCCTGGAAATCTTTATGTGATCCTAATGCTATTCAAATCTTTCAAACTTTCCATTAACTACGATTTTTTGCAAATCTTAGTAATAGTTTGGAAGATGTATTAAAAAGTCAGCTAAAGAGTGCAATAACTTCAACAATGGCCAAATTAATACAGCAGAGACAGATCAGGGCGCTAGTATTGCTGATCACACCAAATCTATTGATCCCACTAAGCAATATATATTTGTCTTCCATGGCAGATGTAAACATTTTGTCAACTTTCGTTTTTGCCTTTGAGCTTGAGCACAGGCACCGCGAAGTGTTGAGAAAAGTGGGGGGATCTAAAAAAAGTAGGGCTAAAACCGAATGATATGAGGCTTTACTGGTCGTTCGCTTCAAAATAATATACATTTTTCGCTAAAGCCCCCCAGCCCCCTTCTCCACGGTGCTTGGAGCATCGATTTCCTTTTTGTGCCATAACGGAGCATTATATTCCATATTTTTTGAAGAATTTCCTTATTCTACAAATCACTTTGAATCGTGATTTCACAACTACTAAACATCAGCTTATCATAAAGGAATATTGTGGAAGTATTTAATGGCTACAGAGGGGTTGGCCTAAAATTCTTTGCACTTCTAGCCCTTTCCAGTTAACAATAATAGCAGATCCCTAAATTTCATAAATTCGGGGTGAGGGAGCAAAACAAGAGATTTAAAATTGTTGGGAAGCGCCCAACAATTTGATGCAAAACTTCATTTACACTCGATACGCTGAAGTTTCTCTTACAATACACACAATGAATTGCATTTTTATAGTGTTCCTAGGTGATGACGTCACAAAAATCTATTTTCAGAATATTTGAATTTGGATCCCATAATCCGAAAGAGCATCATAAAGCTCCTCTATATGTGCAAAATCAGCGAGATATGTTACGAAGTGGCTGAGGAATGGCCACATTAGCGCAGTCTGATCTTCTGTTAAACTCTCTAATTTCCTTTCTGTTCAAACTTTGTAATCTGCTAGAAAAATTTCTAATCTTTTTGGCCAAATATCACCAGATTGTTTACATATATAACCAATTTTGCATTTTCAAAAGCATTTCAGGATGCTCTTTTAGGTAATGTGGTCAAAATTCAAACATTCTAAAGATGGATTTTTATGACGTCACACCCCAGAACTCTACTATGTTTTAAAAACGTTGGAGTCGTATTTAGTGGAGTCATCTCGGCTTCGATTTCATTTACTTAAAAGTATTACTGACTAGTTTACGAAACATTATTTTCACATTTTCAAAGATATTTAAGAATAGAATATTTTACATCCATTTAAAGTCCCTGGAAATTTTTAGGAATTTCCAATAAATCCGGAAATCTCTGTCAAATCTTTTCAGAAATCGGGAAGTCCCAATAAGGACTTAAGCATTCCCAAAAGTCTCATACGCTTTTTTAGGTAGTGAAATGCCCCTCGTACCTTGCCACATGCTTCTTTCTGATTGCTTATCATCTTTTTGGAAGCAGAAATCTGGTATTTGCTATCTACGTGGAGTCAAGTAATGCTGCTAAGTGAAACAGACAAACATATTATGTAAACGAATTTGCGACCAGCAACGTATTGACTGGTAGCCATCATCTACATAAATATCTTCTAGACTATATGAGTAATTAATGTATAAAGATCGTCACTAGGTACCAGCTATTTTAAAGATTTGGCGACATATCTCGTTTACATGTAAGCATGGGCTAGAATAGATTTATTCAGCTGTTCCTAGGATAAATACGAAAACATCAGGTAGATCAACAAAGCAGAATCGTTTTTCGCCTCTTCAGGCTTGCAAATCTATAGCTACGTCCTTTAACTTCTGATCTCTGGCTTTTGATAACTCGTGTAATCCGTTCTTTTGAGGTTTGTTCCAAAATTTTTTATTTCTAAGGCAGATTTGCATATTTACATTATTGTTTATCACTCATCAGAGTCTGTGGGGGGGGACCCCCCAGATGATTTCCTGAATCTGCCACTCAAACTTTTGCATTTTTCTTTTACAACCGTTCCTTTAGATATCTAAAGAATCAACGCATAGCTTTGACGATTTCGTCATTAAAGATTCGTTTACCATCAATAAAGGTAATAATGAGTACAAGTGCATTCATCGCAAATCTGACATAATAGCAACGTTGACACTGTTCCTTGTTTGTTTTGCCCCTTTCAAATAATGCTTCATGTTTTTGGGGGTTCCATTCTGGACTTTTTTTCTCTCCTTTTGTTAATTCTCTCCTTCAATTTCTCCGTTTTCATTTTTATCTGTTTTACTTTAGCACGTTTCCTGTTTGTTTTTCTTTAAAAGTTTGTTTTCAAATTTTATTCGTTTCATAGATCTTTAACACCAAGAATAATGCAATTCATCAGAAAAGTCATCAATGTGGACAAGGCCTAAGTAACACGGTTCTGTGATTTCTAAGAAGTAAGGTAATTCTTTGGTGTAAACAGTTACTTATTGATGGAAAATAGTGTAATTTTCCATTCTAAACTGCACGTTGTTAAAGGCGTTCACTCGTTTAATAAAGTCGTCTTCCTTCAGATCAACACTTTCCCTGTGTCTTACTTTCCCTGTGCCTTACTTGTGACGTAATGCTATGACGTGAAGGTTTTGAGCTGATCTGGGTTATATCTCATTAACCTTTTTACATTAAGAACCCTGCTTGGAAGTCTTTTAAGTAAATAGATGAGGATCAACTCTCTCAAGGAAACATACTTTTAATTCTTGCCAAAAGGACTTGAAACAATCAGTTTCAGACACTATTCGATCTATTTTCTATCCATTCCTATAGAAAAAGCTGGGTTGCCCCCTTCCCCCTAAACAAAACTCGAAATGCACCTCAGCCATCCTAGGTTAACAAATACAAGTAAAATTCGAATGGTACATTTCTATGTTGAATAATCCAACACTGTTTGAAAGGGAAGCGGGGCAACAGCTACTGTCAATTAGAAAATGCTGTTAGTGTTCCAAGACGTTTGACAGGGTTGTACATGAATGGAAGGCCTTCTGGAACACAAGTTTTAAAACTCCCTGTTAAAAAGCTAATAAAGTGTACGAGCACACTTGCTACTGATGACTTACCTAGCAGCAAGCACTTTTAGTGAAAATACTTGGGATGGTTTGTGAATAAGGTTTTTAATAACGTATTCAACTTGTAAATTGCCTAGCTTGGCTTTCTATTACAGCTCTTACTTCTGGTCACAAATTGAAACACTTCATGGATCATGTATCACATATTGCATGTAGATGTTTAATGATGATTCAGGTTGTACTCGATGTCCTGTTATGAAACAGCCCTCTCTCTTGTTGCTAGACATTATAGAGTCATTGTCTGAGATGGTGCAAGAAAGTTTCGCTGCAAACTAGAATAGCTTTTGTTATCTTGCTCAGATTTGAAACGTGACAGTATCATCTTTCTCTATTTCATCAGTTTTGCTCTGGGTTAACTTATGATATACAGTTATCAATTGCCCTGTCGTATTGCACCAGTAATCTTCATCAAATGCAACATATCAAATGCTATTTGTTCCATTTGCTCAATGTTCTTTTACCCACCCAAAACATCCGTTTATGACAGATTGCATGATTTCTACCCGTGTCAGACCATCTTCCTTGTTAAATGAAGTGTCAAATAAGATCTTTACGGTAACGTGATTTTTGATGTCAATTTGTGGAATGAATCACCTGTTAGAATATACAAAAAATAGAGCTATTGTTTAGTTACGAACAATGACGTTTACTTCCGTTTTTATTGCACGCTGTCATGCTGTGAGCTGTAAGATGATACTTCTTCTAAGTTTTCGTTTGAGTTGTAATCGCCGTTATGTTATGGATGAATTTATCTTCAATCGCTTGTTTCTGTGCGTAAAACTCCTGATTTTAACAGGTTATGGGCCCAGGAGTTTTGATAAATTCGAATAGAATTTGCCACGAAGCTGACTTTCGACGATTTTAAATTCAGTGCGAATTATGGCTGCGAAACCGATGGAGTTTATGTCACAGCACATTGATAAGTTCGATGGAACGAATTTTCATTTATGGAAGTTCAAAATGCAAATGGTTCTCGAAGATAAGGATCTTTGGGGTATAGTTTCTGGCGAAGAAGTGGAACCTGCAGGGGAAGGAACCACGGAAGCTTCTGTGCAGAAATTTCGAAAGCGTGCGAGGAAAGCACTGGCGACCATTTGTTTATCGATAAGTGACAGTCAGTTATCTTTGGTTCGATCAGCGAACACAGCTGGCGAAGCGTGGTCAAAATTAGAAAATCACTATGAAGTCAAATCACTGGCTAACAAGTTGTTTTTACGAAAGAGGTATTTTACTGCGACAATGTCAGAAAATGATACAATGATGGAACACGTAAACAAAATGAGAAGTTTGGCAGAGCAAATGGCTTCAGTGGGAGCGCAAGTCTCTGAAGAGGATCAAGTGGCGACTCTTTTGTGCAGTTTGCCAGATTCCTATAATAACCTTATTGTTGCACTTGAATCACGGGCAGATCAACTCACCCTAGAATTCATTATTGCCAGATTGCTACATGAAGAAAGAAAACGATCTGAAGTTTCATCTGACCTTGGAATTGCGATGGAAAAGGCACTTGTTACCACGAAGGAGATGTCTAGAGTTGCTGGACAGCAAGTGAAATCCACCAACAAGAAAGGGAAATGCTACAACTGCGGTTTAAAAGGACATTGGGCAAGAGACTGTAAGAAACCTAAGAAATCAAGCGAAAGGCCTAGACAGCAAGCTAATGTTACAGAAATGGAAGCCACGCATACTCTCTTTTGGGCAACAACCAGCACTAACAAGAAAGAAGCGAATACCTGGATTATTGACTCTGGTGCATCTCAGCACATGTCATGGTGCAAAGAAAGGATGGTGAATTTTCGTGAATTTGCTGTACCAGAGAAAGTACGCTTGGGTGACAACAGAGTTGTATTGGCACAAGGTACAGGGTCAGTTTGGGTTAAGGTCAAAGTCGAAGGGAAATGGAAGCCTGTTGAATTGGCTGAAGTGCTGTTTGTTCCAGATTTGGCAAAGAATTTGCTCTCAATCAGTGCAATTGTCAAAAGGAATTTGTCAGTGGTTTTCAACGAGGACAAATGTCTAATCCTAAATAGCGATGGAGAAACCTTGGGTTTAGGAAGAAAAGACAGAAAGTTGTTTATTCTTGACTGTCTACCAATGAATGAATTAGCACATGAAGCTAACAGTGCAGATGATTCCTTACAACTATGGCATCAGAGGTTTGGCCATTTAGGAGTGAAGAATTTGAAAACGTTGCAAGATGAGGAACTAGTTGAGGGACTAAAGTTCAATGATTCAAAAGATATGCAATTTTGTGAGGCCTGTGTCGAGGGAAAACAAACACGAAACTCATTTCCTAAAGGTCAAGCTACACATGCTACTGAGCTTCTAGAGATTGTGCACAGTGATGTATGTGGGCCAATGCAAACAACCAGTCTGGGTGGACATCGATATTTTATTACCTTCATCGATGATAAATCAAGATTTACTGCAATATACTTTGTAAAAAACAAAGATGAAGTTCTTCAAAAGTTCAAAGAGTTTGAAGCCATGGCAACAAATATCACTGGACAGAGAATCAAAAATCTACGATCAGATAATGGTGGGGAGTATAGTTCCAAGGAATTTAATGATTTCTTGACACTCAAAGGTATTTCAAAGCAGAGAAGTGTCCCAAGAACACCAGAACAGAATGGGGTTGCAGAGAGAATGAACAGAACCATTCAAGAGACTGCAAGGTCAATGCTGCATGCTGCTAAATTAACAAATGATTTTTGGGGAGAAGCAGTTGCAACAGCAGTCATTTTGAGGAATCGTAGTCCCACTAAAGCAGTGAAGGACATGACTCCATATGAAAGTTTTTATGGAATAAAACCTGATGTTGCACATTTGAAAGTATTTGGATGTGATGCTTACATGCACATTCCAAAAGAGCTCACAAAGAAATTTGATTCAAGATCTAGAAAGTGCATCTTTGTTGGGTACAGCCTTTACAGAAAGGCGTATCGTCTATTTGATCCAAGAACAAAGAAACTTTATGAATCTAGAGATGTTGTTTTTGTTGAAAATGAGTTCAGAGGTCGTATTCAACATCAAACAGTGGAAACAAAGAAGATAGATTCTACTGTTAAACCAGTTTTCAAATCTGATGAAGAACAACTAGAAACTGAGTATGATGAAAGAGTTGTAGACCTTGAAACAGATGAAAACAATCGAAATGCGGAAAGTCAAGATGCTGAAGACTTGCAAGAGCCTAGACGCTCAAACCGTACAAGAAAGCCTCCAGAAAGAGACGGTTTCATTACTGGTGATTGGTGGGAATTTGAAGAGTCTTTAAATGCTGATACTTTAAATGAGAATACTGAAGAACCTACAACAATTCAAGAAGCATTGAATTCATCTGCAAAAGTAAAGTGGAAAGAAGCCCTTGATAGTAAATACACATCACTTATCAAGAACAGAGCTTGGAATCTTGTTGAACTCCCAAAGGGACGTAAACCAGTTGGATGTCGTTGGGTCTTCAAGATTAAACATGATGCTAATGGAGCAGTTGAGAGATATAAAGCACGTCTTGTTGCTAAAGGCTATTCTCAGGAAGAAGGTATTGATTATGAAGAGACATTCTCTCCTGTAGCAAGATACACATCAATTCGCTCAGTACTTGCTATTGCAAATCAGTTGGATTTAGAACTGCATCAAATGGATGTCCAAACAGCGTTTCTTAATGGAGAACTAGAAGAAGAGATTTACATGTTACAACCAGAAGGCTACAAAGAAAAAGGCAAAGAAAACTTTGTTTGCAAGTTGAATAAAAGTATTTATGGACTGAAGCAAGCATCAAGATGTTGGTTCAAAACAATGGATGCATACATGAAGAATAACGACTACGAGCAATGTCAAGCTGATTCTTGTTTGTATGTCAAGCGTGTGGGAGCAGAATTTATAATCATTGCTTTATATGTTGATGATATGCTGTTAGCTTGTAGCAGTAAGCAGCTATTGCAAAATGAGAAAGAAGCATTGCAAAAACGGTTTTGCATGAAAGATCTGGGTGAAGCTCGTTATTGTCTTGGAATTCAGATTGAACGTAACAGAGCTAAAAAAAGGATGTTGCTGCATCAAAGCACATATCTTTCAAATTTACTACGGAAATATGGAATGCAAAATTGTAAAGAAGTATCAACACCACAAGTGACAGGTTCAACACTACTTGCAAATGAAGGCGATCCTGTTGATAAGCAGAGATATCAAGCACTTATTGGAAGTCTTACTTATGCAGTTACAGCAACAAGACCAGACATTGCACAAGCTCTTGGATCTGTCAATCAATTTAGTTCTAACCCAAGTGGAGAACATTGGCAAAGTGTCAAACGTATCTTACGTTACATTAAAGGTACACTAG